TAAAAACCGCAATGCAGACAGCCATAGGGTTGTAAGGAAATGCAGCTTGTAGGCTATATAGCAAACATGGTGGAATTGACAGTGAGCCCCTCAAAATGTTTGCAGTGGCTAGCAACACAATAGAAAGTAAAAACAAAATTCAGGCAAAATAAGACATAAAATGTTGTCACTAGCACATTTTGAGAGGACTGGATATCTTGGACATATAATGTATATTATAGCAGGGCAGGACTAATCTTCTGAAATGAAATAGCTTCATGGGTAAGTAACTTTGACTTTTAACTTGTCCCTTTCCAAATTCCACCTGCATATTAATGTATGTAAATTACAGAGTGTATAGCAGGTGCTGCTGAAAGAGCAAAGGGTGAGTGGCCTTATATGCATATTTTTACCATGCAGGAAATGCCCATTTTCTTAAATGTACAGTATTTATAAATAATCTTATTAAGCATTGCTCCTTTTATAGCTGTTACTCTTAAGGGTGACTTAACTTAAAGGTCACATTGTTGCATATTCATTTTAATAACAGCAGTTCTTAATGTATTTACACACCAGAGCATATACAGTGCATGTATATGTGGATATTGGGGCGAAATTATTGTCTGTGTACACTACAAATTATGGTTGTACAGAGCATAATAATATGGTACACAAATGTAAGCTCTTGCAAAGAGCAAAGAAGGGTCAGTGGTTATACATGCATAATTTCATCTTCTAATAAGTGGTCATATTTTTAATTGTACAGAATTAAGAGGTTTAACATTGCTCCTTTTTTGATAAGTTAACTCTTAAGGTGTGAAGGGGTTGTGACTAATTTAAATGTCACAGAATAGTATGCACATTTTAATAGCAGCAGTGTATCTTGGTGTTCAGAGAGGAAAGAACTTAATTTAGACAGTAGTTGTTTGTACCAAGTGTTTCAGTAAAATGACAAGCACAAAACACTCAAATCATGGGGATTCACTGTTTTTGAACTGCAAGAAGAACAAAACACAATGCCTAAGGTACAAGCTTTGGTTTATATTGGCCATTCAATATTTTGTGATAATATAAACCTGAACAAGTGACATAAATCTTGGAATACAAAAGGTCACTTGTGTGAAAGTTGTCTGGGCATTGTGTGGTTTGTCCTGAACTTGTACAAAAAAAAACAGACCAAAATCAAGATTTTTTAAAGGATAAAATTAAAATAACGGAGAAGCGTTCTCAAGTCTAAATACTCAGAAAAGGTTGGACAATTTTAATGTGATATTTATTAAGACAACAGCTCAATTTAAATTTTAGCTGTTTTTAATTTTTTACTCAGTATTTATTAATAACAGCATAGAGAGAATGTATATGTTGAACAAATGGCAGACATTCATAGCTTGACATTTATTAAGACAACAGCTTTTTTTAAAATCTTAGCTGTTTAATTTTAACTCAGTATTTATTAATAACAGCATGGAAAGAATGTGTATGTTGAACAAATGGCAGACATTCATAGCTTGATATTTATTAAGAAAACAGCTTTTTTTATAATCTTAGCTGTTTAATTTTTAACTCAGTATTTATTAATAACAGCAGACAGTGAATGTGTGTGTTGAAGGTCAAAATGAAATTCAGGTTAAAATGAAATTTCTTTGTCTCTTAACCCTAGTTATTCATGGTCATGAATAATTAGGGCTAGTGAGAATCAAACTAGATTAACATTTAACTAGATTTCATTTTTACCTACAACATGTATACTGTTGAACAGTTACACAGATCAGACATTTGTAGCTTGATTTTATTAAGGCAACAGCACAATTTAAAATCATAGCTGTTCTTTGAATTTTTAACATAGCATTTACCAACAACAGTGAATGTGTAAGCTGTTCATTATTGTAAATAATTATGCCTTGATGGCCAACACACTTCAGAGATTTTTAGCTAGATGTTTATTGTTAAAGATAATTTCTCAACAATACAGTGAGATGTGAAAGGTATTATTGTAGGAAAAAAGGTGTTTTAGCTCATACAGGAAAAGGGTAAATAAAAAGTAGTTGGCATTTTATTATGTTTTGTTTCACTTTGATTATCTGATATCTAATAAATTATGAGAAAAAGGGATAATTCAAGCATTCAAGCACCGCTGCCCATTTCATATGGGAGTGCCTACCCCGCAGGAGCTAAAACACCCAGGCATTTCCTTAATTTGTTAGGTCAGTTTTACTATACACTACTTCTTTACAACTCTATCTTTATCTACAAAAAGACTGCTAAGTCCATTCAACAAAATCGACGGATTTGGGTATCTTGTTTTCTTTACAAAGGAGCGATACTTGCAGGCATTCCAAAAGAGCTAAAACAATTAAACGACGTAGAGACCGAGAGCCGTCCAGAATATTGATGAACAAGGTTTTCAAGACCACGAAGATAAGAAAAACTAGAAGCAAATTTAAGGTTTCTATAAGGAAATATATTCCTAAATCTTCTTGGTTGTACAGCTTTGCTACTGACTTTAAGTTCTGCTATGTCAGATATCTGAACAGATGTGAGGGATTTTTCACTAAGTTTGTAAAATTAAACAAACTGACTGCAAAGAAAAGCAAACTTGGAACTCATGCCCCTTCATTTAACCACAAAAAAATAGCATCAAGTACTCATAGTAGAAGATTCTGTGTGTCAAGCATGAAGCTTTTGACTTCAGGTGATGTTGAATTAAATCCAGGTCCTCCTCAAGGTGTCAACACTCAAACCACATTGTCATTAGGCTCCACCATGTTGTTAAATTTTCGATTACATCGGCTGGGACTGAGACCCCTTGATGTGGGTGGTGCAGGTGATTGTTTCTTTAGAGCTGTTTCTCATCAGTTGTATGGTGATCCAAGTCACCACTTGCAAATCAGACAAGATGGTATTAATTATCTCCGGTCAAACTCAGAAAATTTCATTGAAAGCAATACCCACAGTTCATGGGATGACTATTTGGTTAATATGTCTCTGCAAGGTTCATGGTGTGATGCAATCATTGTTCAAGCAGTTGCTGAGTCACAAAACTTGAGAATTCATATTGTAGAATCCAATGAAAATTTTCCTGATACAACTTTAATTGAATCAGCACTTGTTTTATTTAGGTCATGTAAATGAACCTCCTTCACAAAAGTCAATTTATTTTTAAACAAAATCGAACAAAAGGTCAAAAAAGGAAAAAAAAGCATGAACCTATATGAAAAAAAGAGGACCTACAACAATTTATTTTAGGTCATGTAAAAAAGAATCCAAAACATTACAAATAAGTATGAATTTCTTAAACCGAACATTATGTATCAACAGTACCATATATAGAAACATGATATTCCAAAGATATAATTAATTTCTTAATACCACTAAGAAAAATAGGTTTTCGGTAAGTTTCAATTTAAAAAAAATCTCAAAAGGTCTAAGCTATCTTCACCTATATAAACGTCTCCTAAGTTTATTTCGCGAGGCAGTAATTTTGGAAGAATTACTGTTTTGCAAAATGGACTCTAGTTCACTAGAAAGTCAGCATATTGATATTTTAAACAAAATCGAACAAAAGTTGTCTCTGAAGAATCACAACTAATGCCAGCCTAAAAAAGGGTAAAAAAACAATAGCATGCACATGAGAGAATATAGGAAGAAGAAAAAAAGGCCAGTGAAAGTAGGAAGCAGACATCTAAAATCAATGAAAATAAGTGCCAAAAGGAATCATGAAAGAGGTCACGCAAAATAGCAATCCTTACCTGAGGGAATATATGAAAAAAAATTACTATTTTGCGAAATACATTTTAATACGGAGGACTGATGAAGGTAGGATGCAAAAATCAAACAACAGGAATAGCAGTGTTCTGTCTGGGATAGATGACCAAACTTATACCACTAAGAAAAACCAAAAAACAATGTCACTGTGAGGTAGCAAAAATAGAAATAGAGAATGTCACATTAGAGTAGCAATAACTGTCCATTAGAGTAGCAAAAACTGCCGCAAAAAGTAATGATGAAGACCTAAACGAGAATCATCACATTTCAAAGTTTCATGAAATAGTGTCGCAAGGTCCATTATACATCTGTAGCTGTTGTGACCAGCTATGGTATAAACACAGTGTTTCTTCAGCCAATACATTAAAGAAATCAAATCCTGCAGCTGGGGAAAAATACCTTATTAATAAAGTAAGTGTCAAACATAAAGAGTGGCTTTGCAGAACATGCTACAAATACTTAATAAAGAATAAAGTTCCTCCTACTGCTATTTTAAATGGAATGCAATTTCCAAAAAAACCAGATTTTTTTGACTTGAATGAACTTGAATGTAGACTTCTTGCACCAAGACTTGCATTTCAAAAATTAATGCAAGCTCCAAGGGGAAGGCAATTCAAAATTCTTGGAAATGTAGTTAATGTAGTGGCAGAAGTATCCAATACTGTTAATGTGTTACCAAGGTTACCCAGTGATACTGGTACAATTAAAGTAAATTTAAAGAGAAAATTACAATACAAAAGTTCAGCCATGTCTTTCAATGTAAGACCGCATAAAGTTATTCAAGCAGCTAACTGGCTCATCAATAACAGTAGCCTGTATAGACAAGAAGGAATAACAGTTAATCAGGTCTGGGGAGTAGAATATAGAGACAACTGTTTGGTAGATGAAAGAAATATTGAAAATGAACACAAAGGGCTACAAAATATTGTTAACAGTTGTGTTAATACTTCAAGTAATACTAATTGTGATGAAGTTGTAGAGACCGAAGATCAGTGGAGTGAAGATGAAATAGAAATACCTGCTGGAGTTACTGACACCATGTTGACAAACACAAATTTTGTTGAGGACAATGAGAGTCATCATATTTTAAATGTTGCACCAGGTGAAGGGAATAAACCTTTAAGCATATTCAGAGATCAATATTCTGAAGAATTGGCATATCCTGGCATATTTCTTGGACAAAAACGACCAGAAAATAAAGAGAGATTGGTTAGCGTGCATTACAGTGACATTTGTAAATCTGAATTGAGGCGGTCAGATAGAAGAGCGGCTATGTGTGTTGAAAACATATTCTTTAAAACAAAGAAACTGCAAATGAAAATACTATTAGGAAATTCCCAAGTTGCTCTTAGAAAGTGCAAAGGGAATAGCAGAACTTTAAATGCAGCACAACATAAACAAGAAGGAGCAATAGAGAAATTGATTCATCATGATGATGGATTTCAGTTTCTTAGAGCATTAAGAGGTTCCCCACCATATTTTGAAAAAGCAAAGAAAGACTTGTTTGCCATGATAAGACAATTAGGACCGGCCTCGTTATTTTGTAGTTTCTCTTCGGCAGAAACAGTGGATTCATTTGCTCAGAATACTTGGAGAGTTGGTTGACCACAAACAGTACACTGATACTCATCTGGAAAATATGAACTGGGATGAAAAATGTAGGTTAATTCAAAGTGACCCAGTATCATGTGCCAGACATTTTTATTATCAGATCAGTCAATTTCTCACTAACTTCCTCTTGAATAAGTGCCAACCTCTAGGAAGGATATCTGACTGGTTCTATAGAGTAGAATTTCAACAACGAGGTTCACCTCATATCCATATGCTTATATGGTTAGAAAGTGCACCAGTGTTTGGAATTGATGATGATGCAACTGTTACAACATTCATTGATCAGATTGTAAGTTGTAAATGGCCAATTGATGACCCACAACTGCAGAAACTAGTGAACAGACAAATTCACAGGCATTCTCACACATGTCGAAAGAAGTCAAAGAGTGAATGTCGATTTAATTATCCACAACCTCCTATGAGAGCAGCTGAAATCATGTATCCTTTAGGTTCAGATATATCACAACATGAAATTAAAAAACATAAAGAAACTTGGAAAACTATTAAAAACCAACTAAATGATTTAAAGGATGGTGAATCGATTACTTTTGAGGAGCTGCTTCTTAAACTAAGTATTACTGAAAATAACTATCGATTAGCTATCAGGTCAGCTTTAAATTCTCCAACTATATTTTTAAAAAGAGAACCAAGTGAGTTAAGAATTAATAGTTACAACCCAACTTGCCTTAAAGCACGGAGAGCAAACATGGATATTCAATTTGTTCTTGACATCTATGCATGTGCTATGTATATAGTATCATATATTTCTAAAGCACAAAAAGGAATGAGTGAACTTTTGCGACAAGCATGTGCAGAAGCGAGGAAAGAAAATTCTAACATCAAGCAACAAGTCAGAGATATTGGAAACAAATTTTAAATAGTGTTGAAATTAGTGCACAAGAAGCTGTCTACATTGTTCTCCAGCTCCCTATGAAGAAGTCATCACGACAAGTGGTATTCATAAATACTGCACCTCCCAATGAAAGAGTGCAGCTCCTAAAGCAACTTAATGAAATTAAAGAAATGGAAGATGATTGTGAAGAAGTGTATACAACTGGTCTGTTGCAGATACAGATAAACTTCCTTTAGAAACAGGCATTGATGAAAATGATGATACCCTTCCTGATGAAAGTAGGAGCAATAAGGAAACAAATAGAAAAAGATCATCAGCTAGAATTATTAGAAGTGTTTGGTTTAACAAAGAAAAAGACCCAGAGAAACACTACCGTGAATTAATTATGCTCTTCACATCATGGAGAAATGAGGAAACTGACTTAATATCCAATTGTTGTTCTTATAAGGCCCGATTTTCGGCCCGAAAGTGTCAGTCCGACAAATGTGTCTAGCATTGACCCAAATTCTCAATAGTTGCTGTTCTGATTTTAATGTTAATTACTTAATTCAAAAAGAGAAAGTTCCCCTCAATAACTTGTTTTTAAGAGAGAACAATTACAGACAATTGGTATCATCCTATACTACTGATAATAGAACAACTATTGAGTATATGACGTAGCGCCTGACAGGCAGCACGCGTTTTTTCCTGCTCCGTGATTCTAAGCGAACTTTCTTCAAAATAACTTCCTCGAAACGACAAAGAGCACTATTTTAATCACAAGTAGATTTTTATAATATTGGCCTCTAGTTACATGGCGATATTTTATTCAAGAGCGGCACTGAATGCCATTTTATCTTCAACGACGAAGAAGTCGCTCGGTTGTGAGTTATGGCGCAACATATCTGATCTGGGAATAACACGGCAAAGACCTACACGTCGAGGGACAAGAGCAGGACAGCGCAAACAAAGGCAGATTGGGATTTGCATGGGGAATGGAGCACGCAAGACTCAGCAATTTCCGAACTTTAATGGGTGTTTCTTTGCCAAGAACTTCCTTCACAGGAAACCTCATTTACATAACCAACTGGCGAACATATTAAATATTCAAAATGACACCTTTCCACGTAGCAATCTAAACAACTGCATTGTTATAGATTGCACCAAGGAAAACAGAGCAGCCAGTACTGAATGGTCACCCAAAGTTCCTAAGATCATGTTAGCGAATGTCATGTCTTTAGCCCCCAAAATGGATGAAGTTAGCGAGTTTATCACTCGTAATCATATCAACCTTGCGTTCGTTACGGAAACCTGGCTAAAGGACTCTGTGTTGGACACCGTTGTTGACATCCCCGGGTTTGCTATTGTGCGTGAGGACAGGAAGACACTAGAACACGGTGGTGTGTGTGTCTATATTCAAGAAAAACGGTGCAAATATAAACAACTGAACGATTTAAAGTGCTGTGATAATCATGAGACATTGTGGCTCCATCTAAGACCAAACCGCCTCCCCGGGGTTTTTCCTGCATAATCGCAGCAGTGATCTATCACCCCCAAGGCCGATGGGACATCTATCCGGGAGCATTTGTTCCAGTCCCTCGTCCTAGCGGAGACGCGATATCCCAACTGTGGATTGGTCGTCACAGGAGATTTCAACCGCTTGGATATTAAGGGCTTGCTGAATCACTTTCGTCTCCAGCAAATAGTTCAAGTTCAGACCCGGAAGGATGCCATATTAGACTTGGTGCTCACTAACATGCAAGAATACTATAATCCGCCACAAGCCTACCCTCCATTCGGGTTGTCGGATCACAACGCTGTTGTTGTGTCGCCAAAAGATGGTAAACGTGATGTAAACAGAAAGCACGTTGTTAAAAGGCGTGACTTACGTGAGAGTAGCAAGGCTGCCTTGGGGAGATATCTAACCTCTATTGATTGGCCTTTATTGTTCGCTCCTACGGATAGTTGCCAGGAAAAGTGGGAGATTTTCCACACTGCTGTACATACAGGGCTTGATATTCTGATGCCTGAGAAAGAAATTCGCACCTGTAGTGCGGACGCTCCTTGGATTGACCATAAGCTGAAGTCAATGATTTTGAAAAGACAAAAAGCGTTCAAATCATATGGCGGCGACTCTGCCCAATTCAAGTTCTTCCGAAATCTGGTTAACCGGGAAAGAAAGGCATGCAGAGCTAAATATTATGAAGTGAGAATTCAGAATTTAAGACAAGAAGCCCCAAAGAAATGGTGGGACGAAGTAAAGCGTCTGAGCGGCTCAAAAAGGAAAAATGGCGACCTTCTGAGCCAGATTGACGTGGAAGGTTTTTCAGAATTGTCATTAATAGAAAAGGCCAACACCATCAATGCCGCGTTTTTAGAACCGCTGGAGGAGTACAGACTGCCAACTCCACTAGAGTTTCTCCCCATGGAGGCGAATACAACACCAGAGATCCTGCACGTGGGTGAACAACGTGTTCAGAAGGTTCTGTCTCACCTTAACCCTGGGAAAGCGTGTGGGCCTGATAGAATTCCCAATTGGCTACTGAAGGAATATTCAGATGCAGTGGCTTTCCCAGTGACAGAAATCCTTAATGCCTCCTACTCCGAGCAGCATTTACCAAAAATGTGGAAGTTGGCTGACGTGACACCCCTGCCCAAAAAGAAATCAGTAAAGGAACTGAAAAAGGACCTAAGACCTATCTCGCTTACTCCATGCATTTCTAAGGTCGCAGAAGGGTTTATTGTGGACGACTACGTCAAACCAGCAGTTATGAGTATCATTGACGACAGCCAATACGGGGCAATACCAAACTCTTCCACGACTATGGCCTTAATTAGCATGTTACATAATTGGTCAATTAACACTGATGGAAATGGCGCTACTATAAGAACAATCGTATTTGATTATCGAAAGGCCTTTGATTTTATCGACCATGAAATTCTGATTAGAAAACTGCGTACTAAGTGTAAATTGCCAGTTAGTATTACCAATTGATAGTTGACTTTCTTTCTGATAGATCACAAAGAATTAAGCTGGCTGCGGAGTGCTTTTCGGAGTGGGGATCTGTGCCCTCCGGAGTACCACAGGGCACAAAATTGGGCCCATGGTTATTTGTGCTTATGATAAATGACCTTGAAATCGCGTATCCACTATGGAAATACGTTGATGATACAACAGCCTCGGAGATGATACCAAAAGAGAGTGAAAGTCACGCCCAAAATATAGCAGATTGTGTTAGTGAGTGGTCACGAGAAAATAGAGTTCACTTGAATTCTGATAAGTGCAAAGAGCTTCGGATCTCATTTTCTAAAAGGCCCGGGTTCTTTGATCCCATAGTAATTGAAGGCAAAGAGTTGGAGGTAGTTAGTAGCGTAAAGCTCCTGGGCCTTAATATAGCTAGCGACTTGACCTGGAACAGTCATATATCAGAAGTAATCAAAAGGCCAGTAAGAGGTTGTATTTTTTTAGTGCAACTAAAGAGAGCTAGGGTTCCCTTTACAAGACCTAGTACTTTTCTACACATCATGTGTAAGATCTGTAACAGAGTACGCGATACCTGTCTTCTATAATGCACTTCCGCAATATCTGAAGAATGAGCTTTTACGTATTGAGAAACGGTCAATTTCCATTATAACTGCGGGTGATTGCGCGGTTGCTCAAGATTTAGGAATACGACCCATCTTAGAACATTACGAATTTCTATGTCAGAAGCTTTTTAAAGGTATCTTAGACAACCCTAGCCACAAGTTAAAGGCGCTTCTTCCACCCATACATAAACCCAGCTATAACTTCAAAAATAAGCGCCAATTTAATATGCCACGCCTTCGCACTTCGAGAACGATGAACACTTTTATATTTGCTATGGCAAGGAGGTTTAATGGCTAGATTTTTATCGATACGATATCCTTTATTTTTGTTACGGCACGCGTGATAATTATAGTAATAATAATGATAATGATAATGTAGATACTTTTAATTAATTTAAATTTATTTTAATTAGTTTACATTTATAGCTAATGTATTTTATTTAATTTACTATCATGTTATTATATTGTAAATTGCTGGTATAATAAGACGTGTAATTAGGTTTTTGAATTTTAAATTTTAAATTTCTTGGATTGTAAAAATGTGTAATTCAGCCCTCGGGCTGCAAATGCATTTGAGATTAAACTATCTATCTATCTAAGTACATAAAATAAACACAACTTCTATTGACCATATATATACCAATTTGCCTGAATCACAAGTGACTGTACACATTCTGGAAACATATTTCACTGATCATCAAGCAATATGTGCATTGATTAAAACTTGATGTTGTTAAAAATTGAATACACATGTAACTACATGTAAGATGTTTGAGAATGCCATAAAGTACCAATAGAATTCAATGTAGGAAGATTAATTCAGAAATTCACTTGACATCCATCATCATAATTTATGCATGTATTGATAAGATGTTCCAATTTTTCAGATCACAAGCCAGTGTTTTTGCATAAATTGAAGGATAGAAACTTGAAAATAGGCACACATGTGAAGTCAGTTAGTTAACTGTCAAGTAACTGATCTAAAAATACTAATTTTCCTCAATGAAATTCCTCAATAACATAACCTAAAACTATAATGCAATTCTGAAGGTTGTTTTGCTTTTTGGCAACCTTCCTACACTTTTTTCCATCAAAGAATAAACATAGGGATAGAGGTAAGCTTGCAATTTTTTTCAATTTTATTTGGTTTTCCCTTTCTCTCAATAGTAGCAAACAATTTCCTAGCCAGTGTATATAATAACAACTAAATATACTTATTTCTCTGTTTAAATCTAAGTACCTTCTCCTCATTTTAAGTCTTAGTGTCAATACCAGTAATTTCATGTATTATCCCATTTTTCCCTTACAGCCTGTTCCTGAAAAATGGAGGATGAACTTACTGGCTATCTTCATAACATTTCTCCTCTAAAGAAAGGTTCTAAAACCACATGGTTTGATATGCAAATTCAAACAGAAGCAGAAGTTGTTAGAGGGGTATGCTTCTCAGCAGCAAAACACAATGACTTCAAAAAGTACAGTGAACAGAAAAGCCCCATCAAAATCAAGAAATTCAACATCGATTCAACAGGAGATACAAAGAGTGTACTGATGAGCCCTAGAATCCAAGTGGAACCACTGCCTGAACTCAACTTTGAACCAATCACAATCCCAACAACTGTCAGCATACCATCCATTACCTCTGTTAATCCTGGACAGCTGGTTGATGTCAAAGCCAATCTCCTTTACTTGTCAGGAGAGAAAAAGGCTAATACCATGAATGGCCCTAAGAGTAAGGTGGAAGCAACTCTAAGAGATCCATTTGGTTCTATCAGGATAACTCTCTGGGAACAGTATACTAATTAGGTACAAGAAGGGAAAACTTATGCCTTCAAGAACCTGAAAGTAAGAAAGAATGGTGACTGGCACGAATTAACAACAGCAAGAGATGGATCTACAACTCTCACAGAAGTTGAGCCATTCAAAGAAACATTGGCCACCCCAAAAGACATCCCAGAATCATTTTTTATTTCTAAATCAACCGCTGAAATACTAGGAATTGCTCAGTTTTCAGTGTACCACTCCTGTCAGTTACACAATATTGAAATGTTCCAGTTAGCTTTTTCTTTGTTAATTTATTCAGAGAATATTGAAAAACGAACATTTGATGTAATTAATCATTATGATGATACTGAATGACATCGTTACCTTTCGACTGTATTATTTCCTTGTTTTCTCATGGACAGCAATATGTCTAGTATTGTGTATATTGTACCATGCATTTTTATTTTTCATGTGAACAGAGCTAACTGAAAGGTCTGTGTCACAAGTTTGTGTTGAATGCAATTACATCCGTTCCAATTACACAGTATCGAGTTCTTCCAGTTTCGTTGCTTAATTCACACTGAACTAAAGTTTTGATGGAACAGGTATTTTCCATTTCTCCAAGTAAGCCCTTCACTTAGCCCATGACATGTAGTTATTGGTACTTTGTAATCCATAAGAGTACAGGCTAGATATATGTTTCCTTTAAAGATTGGAAGTTTCTGGTTAAACAAATGTTACGTTTTACATTCGTCGTTTGTTAGCAGTGTTCTTTGCTTATGTACTTTCTTACAATTGCAATGGACTAATATGTTACAAAACCCCACAGTGAGAATCAATTCAGCCCAAACCTTTGGCAACAATACATTATATCACCAGTGGTCCTAAAAGACACGTGCCAGGTCGCTTAAAGGGAATATTCTTTCGCGCATGATGTTGTACAACATGTAGAGCTAAAAAAGCCTCGCAAATTCCCTTAAATTTGTCGGTTTGCAATCCTTTTTTCTTTTTAAGATGGCTCGCGTCGATCATTGATCCGTGTGGGAATGTGAAAATTATCGTAGACATCCCGAAAGGTAAAAAGTTTTAACGAAAACCTTTGTTCGCAATTCATGGTTCGTGCAGAGGTCCCTAATAAGTTGTTACACATTCTGTTCCTCCAAAAGTTACTAGTAGAAGGGAGAAGACAATTCGAATGCACAGTAGAAACAAGGATGAATTAAATGCAGTAGGTAATCAAAATTACAAATTAGAATCAAGTAATCGGTGTGAAATCATGTTGAATTATACGGATGAAAAGGGCGAAGTTGCGATTGAAGGTTACGAGATTATAATTGAAGATTGTTGCTGAATTTGTGTGATCTCAACTGAAAAAAAAAGTACAGCAGTACATAAACTAAGAAAGTACCCTGGGAAATGCAACACATATCTAACTAACAATGAGACGATTATAAAAAGAACTGAGTGCGAGAAATAAACCAATGTAGTCAATACAGACCGAAAGGGAAATATTGTAAATGTAAAATAAAGGAAGACTTACTTTGGTCTAGCTCCTAACGATAGCAGATGAACATTGAAAGTAACAGCAGCAACTAATGGCGATGAAACATGAGATACAATATCTGATACATGTGCTCAAAAGAAAGTGATTGAAATGGCAAACTTATTAACTAATAATCATTAACTAATGAGGGATTAATTGTTAAAAAGAAACCAGAATAGAAGACAAGAGAAAAGTACACGAACTACGCGCTTCGAAACTAACACTCACGAGAATACAAACCCTATAATATTTTCTCTTGACCAAAAGCTATTGATAAAATTCAAGGAAAATAAGCAAGAAATATCTCTTTATTCCAAAAAGTCTTAGATAGACCGTTCAAAAACGAAAAAAACCAAGGAATTTCTTGAACTTACAAGACCTGGGCGATATATGCACCATCGTTGTTTACATAAGTTCACGGCTATAGCGTTGTGTTAAAGATTCTGGAAGTTGAATAATTTAAAGACAATATCTTCGATTTAATAATACCTTAAAAGCATATGAACGCTTAAAAAAATAAAATTATCAGTCCAAAAAATAGTCAAATATCGCAGAGTCTCACTTGAAGTTAGGAAGTTCTGTTTTCATTTTCGGGCCTTTCCCTACGCTTTTGAGAATTGCATTTTTTGTTACCCCAAAACTAATTCCGTCGCTTTTACGCTCAAATTTAAATTATTCCTAGAATATGTAGTTTCCATTTAAGCTCCAAAACGTCTGCTATGATTGGGATAGATCGAAAGAGGTAACAACTGTATGCCACAAAAAAAATTTGAAGTACATGCAAGCAACTAGCTCACACTAGACACATGTATGCCTTTGCATACCTATTTTTTAGTTGTGTTTTCTCTTAAATCGACAGCATTAACCTTTTAAGAGCTTTTAAGTTGTGTTGTGCTGTGTCACAGTTTATCGCAACTATTTATAACATAGCTAGTATATTTGTCTTATCAAATTCAATTGTGCGAGCGTGTTTCATATTCCTTTGTAAAATAATTCAAATAGTATGCGCGCTCTGATAAGCTGGAAACCACGACGCGCAGCGGAGTGGTTTCCTACGCTTATCTCGTGTTCTCCTAACCTCCCACGTGTTTACATCAGGCTATGTAAACACGGAAACCATTTTACATTTCTTCAATTGTGCACGCTCATGACGTCCGCAAACAAATCCTTCGAGAAAAAGATGTTCCATCGGGTTGAAAATGTTATAAAACAATTGGGTCATACGTCAGCTGTGCGTTCATTGAGATATGAAGCACTTGGGAAGTTTGGAGAGCACTCGAGAAGCTAGAGTTGCTTTCGGCTACGCCTCGAGCAACTCTTATGCATCTTTCGTGCTCTCCAAACTTCCCGCTTCATATCTCGATGAACGCACGCTGACATATGAACCAATTGTTAAATTGTATATAGGTAATTCAGCCTCTGGCTGTCATTTATTTCTACAAAGTATCCATTCATATGTCTATTTGACAAGGCCAGTTTTTCGAAAGTTCCGGTGATTATCAGTTCTGGAAACATAATTCTGGAAACATAATTCTGGCTGGCCACGTCTGAGATTCTAGTTCGAGGTATCGATATTTTTAAGGAATAGTCGTGTGAGTTCCAAAGACTACTCACAGTTGTTTTACAGGAGAAACGTCAAAAACGGAAGCATGTTTTTGCATTTATCCAGTATTCTGTCACAATCTTTCCGCTTTTCGTGTCGTTTGGATAGGTATTGCGACAGTTAGTAGAAAAGATTCGTTAAATGCATTCCGTGAATTACTAGGCAGTGTAACTTATGGTGAGCCATGACGGTCGATTCCACTAAAAAATCACTTCGTGGCTTTCTTAAACTTTTTCCTACTTCAACGTCAGTGTTACCAAACCAATTAACTGATGAAATCGAGAACAAAAAAATTCCTCGTCAAATGTTCATAATGCCTTGAAGGATTTTACGGTAAAGGAACAGAAGTCGCACAATCATAGTGTCCTTGGGAATCAAAGACTCCCCTAGTTGAAAGATGAATCGTGTCCAGGTGATATTCACCAAAGCTGAAGTCCTCAAATGACTGAAAAAGAGGAATATTAAGAATATCAGAACTACATCAAAAAAGCGGAAGGTCAAAACAATTAAAAGACTTCAAAGAGTTTCGTATTTCGGTGGCTTCCACTTTCCATAACGGCAGCTGGGTGTTATGGGCGTCAAGGAGAGACTGGTAACAAATCAGCGAGACAACTCTTGATCAATAAGCAATAACCTAAAAGACAGCAGTTTGATCAAGGCGGAGAGGGACTAAGGAACTAAATAGTCATACATGTATCTTTTTTGTTAAACATAACTATCGAAAATTAGAGAGCAATTGATTCCCTACTCTAATGACTTTTCTTGCGTCAAATGATATTCTCTTTTTAAATCTTGGTGCCGCTTCGCCTCTGCCGCTTTTGGTCGAAGTTTCTGCTCCATAGGCATCATCACGAAGTTTTGAATTCATTACAGTGGCATGTAACTTGACACAGTCGTATTCGCGTTTCATCAAACCGGCAGACACGAACGTATCGACCAACGCGTTAGCCAACAGCTGGAGCCTTGTTAAGTAGAGCAAAAGAGAGAAAAGGAAAAAAAAACGTTAGCTGGAAAACTCCAATGGCGAGAGCCCAAAAAATCTTTTCATTTTCAGCGGTTCATTTTTGAGCTCTACTACCGGTATTTTGAGAAATTTCTTACGGTGGACATTAAGAAGTTGATTTTGGGTCAAAGATACCTAAATAAAACTCATTGAATCTTAAGACAACTGTAATTTTTTTTCGGTTAATAAGATATTCAACAAATACCAAGGCAAAATTGAGATTGATATTGGTGTTAGCTAAGGACCAGAGCACAAAATTAACTTTCAAAGCTGAAAATAATTAATGATCCACCTTTTTCACGTTTACCACTGGCTGACAGCACATACATAAGTTAGTTGGAATCTCATAGAACAGCAAGATTGTACACCAATAGTATGGAAAATTAGGAAAAGTTTTTATAAAAACCCTATCAAAGTAGAGTCTGGGGGTTAGTTTTCATGAGATTAAATATTGTGTAAGTAAGGTTTGCTGATCCTTTTATTTACCTGTTAGAGTTGTCTTTTACAAGCACTTTTGCATACAAGACATTTACTTCAGAAGGATCATCATTCATACACTCCACACCTTTGAGTTCAACCACTACTGGCTTGTTGTGAAGCCACTTGCTACAGACAACAACAAATAGTTTATACTACATTAGATTCAAAAGTATCTCCAGCTTAAAACTTTAATTTTAAATCTTTATGTTCACATTGTTAAAATTCATCAAGAATACAATTGATTAAGGTACTAAGACTGATCTGAACATTACAACAATACTGCTGATTTAAATGAATTTTTCCCAACAACTATTTCATTTGCAGTTCATTTTTTTTTCAACAAGTTGGTTTGTACCTACACTTAGGATGACAGCCAACAATAGACAACAAGGAGCCACCAATCAGAACATTTGAAAACTTTTTTGTTTCATTCAAGAGATGGACCACACTTTCTATCAGTTTACCAGTGTAATAACCCTTGCAGAATGATGAGAGAACATGAGAAATGTTTGATAATTACTTAACAAGGTCTTGGTAGCACTGTGTCAAGATGTCTGTTGCATTTTTCTACAAATAAAGTAAAATATATTGTAATATAACTAGAAATATAGGAATTAAATCATATTTTCAGAAGGAACATTAAAGTATGGTTTAAATCCTGGATCCAATTTTGAAGTAGTGTTAGTAATACTAAGAAAAATGTAGAGGAAATGTACTAATAGAATATTCAGTTATCTGAATAAAACATGATTCCAACATGAAGCGAAGATAACTTTCATGGAGAGAGGGAATTTGGCCCTAACAGCTTAAACAAGAACAAAAATTTAAAAGACAAATGTACTAGCTATGGTCCATTGGTTTTATCCATCTTAATCATCACATTTTACTGCATCCTAACCAAGAGAGGTTATCAAAATGTTAAATTCAAAGGTTAAAAATCCTTACCACTTCTTTGATACTCAGTAAGGTCAGCATACCAACAGTTAAATGAATCTTAGTTGGCAGCTGAAAGATGTTGGCATCAATCCCTCTACACTGCAAAGTACAACATCATTCATAATTATTTTCTGGCATTAGTAAACATCCCTTTGTGACAGTTGTTGATCATCAAAGGATTTGTTTCTTTGTAGAGTCAGTCAGATTTTCAAAAATATCTTCCACCAGAATCAAAGACAACTGAATAATTTACAGTGTCATCAACACTACCACCAATTATTTAGTGAGCTAGAAGATGATTACCTCAAAACAATCTTTGAGCACTTTAACTTTAAATTCATCCATTTTCCGTTCCAAGTCACTGTTGTACAAAGGAAAACACAAAAAATGGGTGAAAGGAATCTTCTGCCTGGAAGATTCAGCAATCACCTCTATCCTGCTTCTTGCTCCCACAACACCACTCCTGTTGGGACCAGTTATCACTACAAAGAGACAAAAGAAAAAAAACAGAATTAAATAAGAACAAGAATCTAATCATAAAACAATGTTTAGCAATTTTATCAACAGCAGTTATGAACTCATCAGTTGTTAATGACAACAGATCTCCATTATTCACTTGACCCTTTAGCTCTTACAAGTAATCAATGTGCAACTTCTCTGTATAATATCAATACATTATGCAGCAAACAGGTAATGAGAATACTCAAACTTATCAGGTAGAAGTTATTTTCTTGATCTATCACCAAACTCTCCTAACTAATTTACAAGGAAACGTGTAGCAGCTAAAGGGGAAAATTACCAATCTGATCATGGGAGTTTAGGGGTTAACCTTGGTTGGGGGAAGTCAAGGATAACCGCAAAGTCATGATACAGAAAAGTTCCCACTTCTTGTCTATTTAAGAGTTTCATTTCTTATACTAGAAGAATCAAACTGTGATGTAATGGCTACGTACTGACAGCATTGTTTATAAGGTCTATTTGGAGCTCACCAATATCTCCCTCCTCTCCCTGTCTTGGAACCATTATTTGTGTGTTAGTTTCTTTTTCGATTTTCTTCTTTGTTTCAGCCCTCCTTCCAAGGATAAATTTAAATAAAGAGCTTGGTATTTCCACAGATAACCTGTATCCCTGCTCTGTCCTCTCAACAGATTCACTCACATCGCAAGCTTCGTCATCTTCCCAATCCACCCGTTCTGAAAGACCTTAAGAATCGTAAGAGCAAGAGATCAAGACAATGAAAATCAAGTGAAAAATTATGGAAGAACAAGCTTAAAAATGAAGCTTCTAATAACATTTTATTTAACTGGTTCAATTTTCGTACTTGCATGTTGCTTTGGAACACGGTCCGAATGATGTTCGATTTTCTGCTCAAACGGCATTTTTCGGTAGCATCGTCCTCCAATATATATGAGCGTTGGTTTCATCACATCCATTTCTCTCAGGTAAGCAGAAGATCAACGTCCTCCGCAGTTTATCAATGCACGAATAAGTACGTTCATGTTCAATCTAAAGAAACACTTTTTCATCGCCATTTTAAATTTGTACCTAAGAGGACTGGCACGAGTTAGTGCCTCTCCACGCATAATTCCCAGAGTTCCAAGCAAAACTTTATTATCGTTACCTCGGCAACATATGGAAAAGGACATGGAGAGGCTCTAAAGAGGAATGAGATTCAAAACAACGACGTTATGAAGAGTACCACGGCCTAAATTCTCTTCAAACGTTCTTTTTGGCCATTGAAAATGTTTCAAGTAGAATTTATAATTTTGAAATAACAGACTCTGATAAAAAATGCCTGTTGAACGTGTGCCAGTTGTCCACAAATTTGGGATCATCTCACACACTCAGCGTTTAGCTTTGGAGGATAGACTTGCTAAGAAATCACTGGCCACCGAACCACCACGCACTTTCTCTAGGACAAGGTGAAGATCTTACTTAATATGTTTAGTTAAACTGTTTTTAAGAACAGACGGCAAAACTCATTGTGACGAGTTTTGAAAATACTTTTAAAATTATTATTTACTAATTATATATGCCCCCTCACCTCACATATAGAAATTGTGCTTGGGCAGCCTGAGGTGTTATGGTATTTTCCATACATGAAACCGACTAATACATATACTTAACTTAATTTAGTAACTAAAAAAATTATATATATAGTCATATTTTTTTTATTAACAGAAGGTTCCCTTATGAAGTGACAGAAGATTTTATTGCCAAGGTAAGTGACTTTTCTTGCTCGTTTGAAGAACCTGATAAAAATTTAATTGAAAGACAATTATTGATAACCTTTGTTACGGGCATCAGAGATTAAACTTGAACTCTCAATACCTCCCTGACGTAGGAGGTTACGGTACTCCATCGATAGTGAGACACATAGCAAGTCTGCTGCTTGATAACTGAAAGTGTTACTTAAAAGGTAGCATGTCCTATTATTTTTCAGTTCAATGACAGTAATGAAGAAGACAGGAAAGAACTAGAAGGATTTGCCCTCAAAATGATATCACGAGCCAAAGTAGGTATCAAGATAAAAAGGAGACAAATGAGTTCAAAATGGAATACTTTTTGAAAATTAGTAATAATCATGGATTAGTAAAGTGCTTTCAATGTAGCTTAGGAGTGGATACTTTTGTCATGGCATAGCAAAATCCACAGTATACTTAAACCTACAAACATGGAATGGTGGCATACTCAATCACAGTTCTGATTTGTAGAAACTCATTTTGTTCAGTCGATGGTTGTAATTTATCTGCACATCTTCCCATGGCATTCAGACCAAAGCATGAAGTTGAGGCAAGTGGTCAGCTAGTCCAAAATAGCACCCAAGCCTTAAAATTGCACAGCATCAAGAAAGAAGCAACACAAATAGTTTGTCTTACTAACACTGCACACAATTTTACCAAGCAGAGTTTATACAAATTTTCCTTAAAAGAAAAATGTCAGACTGAGTGTATAAGGGAATTAGCACTGCACAAAGATTCAGCTGTAAGAGAGGGTACTTAATGTTATTTTAATCATAGTCTTTTGGTAGCATAATTAAAATTGTTGAGTTATTGAGGTGTGATACAATAGCTTTAAATCAGAAAGGACCTAATTTTCTTGATAGACATGGGTCATTGATGTACCTTTGACTGCTCTGTGTAAATGATAGATAAATAAACCACTGTTTCTTGTTGCACTTGTAGAGAAGAGCTGGTATCATGGCTGGGGGGAAAGGAGACCATGTTGATTTAGCTAAATCATGGACAGAATTGGGACTATTAGCACAATGTTCAAACCAACAAGTACAAGAAGGTAAGATAGGATATGCTTCAACAGCTGTTCACGCATTTATATGCAGCACTGATTCATATGTTGTTCACTTCTGATTACAGAATCTCTAGAATTGCTGATCACTTCTCTCGGTCATGCTCCTCCAGCTGCAGATCAGCTTCCTAGGTTTGTAACAGTTGTAGTGATTGTAAGGTTCAAGTATTGATATTTGCCTTCCAAAAACTATGATTATGAATTCTTTATGTCTCTGAAAAACATCACAAACATATACACTGTATGATAAAATTGAACCAGGTCTGGAAAATCCCCATAGAATCTAATAAATAATCAGTTATATATTCCAGTATTTCATCCATTCCCAGTTAGTATAGTGAAATAGAAATGTTGCTTTCTCACAAGTGAACAAATCACAGCATTTTGTGCCACAAGTTCTAACTCTTTTTTAAGATTCCAATAAATTGAAAGTTATGATATTCATTAAGACAATCACTGTTTTTGATTAATTCACAGCTTGGACACTAAATTTAATTTCAAGTATTCCAGTGTTGTGAATCAAACAAAAACCTGTGGTGTACACTCAAAAACAATGTGCATTTTTATTTGCTTTTCTCTTTTCAGCTTGTTTTATCTTGCAAAAAGTTGTCTTCATTGGTTGAGAAAGTGTGGAATAACTCAGTCATGCTTGAGGACAGCTGAGTTAAAACTCATCAGGGTGTGTATTTATGGTAGATATTTTGCTCTCTTGGCTGGCCCCTTCAAGCGGGTGTGCGACTGTACATTAACTTGAATTCCTCTTGTTTCAGATGGGTCATCTGGCTTTTTTGAGACTGTATTATCACAATATGACACAAGAACTCAAGGTACTTTTTAAGACTTTTATCATCAAGACAGTTGAATCAGATCTGGAAAAATCTCTTCTAGGATGGTTTGGATATTTGCATAGTTTGAATATTATTACTTTTATTTATTTTTCATTTTTTTTGAGTCTTGTATGTGAATTAATACCAATACCAGAGCTCCATTATATCATAACTTTAATTTAAATAGTTAGGTTTAAAAATTAATTCATGACTTGTGTGTTCCTCAATAGGAATATCAGGATGAAAAGCACTCCTTACTCCAATATCTCTCAGGTGATGAATTGCTTTAAGCCTAGTTTTAAGTAGAACTCTGTCTCCAGTCAGACCAGATCAGCATATACAAACTCTTCATTAACCACTTTTATTTTCCTTCACCCTTTCACTCCCAAGCCCTCATTAGTACTTCTTACTGTGTGCTGTGCAATTCTTTTTATAATTATATTAGTTCAATAATCCTCCAACTGATATATTAATATCTTGATTTTCATGACTTGCCTGCTTAATATTACATTGATATTGTAAGGAGGAACTCTGTCCTGCTCACTTAAAGGATTAAATGAACCACTGTGACTTTACAGGGTTTCCAGAGGAACACGAGGAGGCTTACAAATCATTTCCAGGTGTTTTGCTTGCAGTCAGATACATAAAAGAAGTGGTGAGCAGTAGTTTCAGTAACAGTTAAGGGACACACAAACATTGTACACTCTTGAAAATCATTGAATGTGTGCCAGCTGGACTACTGAGTAAGAAAAGTAACAAAACATAGTGAAGACAAACATGGTGAATTAATTTGTATAATTTAGAATTTGCTGTTCACATAGGGTTAAATTTTTCAATTAAGATTATTTCTGCCAGAAGAAGTAACATTGGTACCAAAATCTATCACTGGTTAATCAGCATAGAGAGTGCATATATACACTTAGACAAGTGCACACACCTTCAGCAGTATTTTTGTAATTTTTGAAGTTATATTGAGCTCAAAATTGTTCTGAACATTGGAAACTTTCAGGCATCTATGGTCTTGTCACCCTCATTACATAAGTTGATGAAATCCTGCGCAAAACTGTTTAAAATTTGAATATCAGAAGATTTTTAGAGGGAATGTCCACTATGATGAAAGAAAAAATTAAAAAAAATAAGCAAAACAGTTATCTGGGCCTTTATTTGTTTTCTTTTTTACAGTGATATTTCTCTTGCCTTTTTCAGGGCCATCTTATTTGCACTGGTTGTGAGGATCCTAATCAAAAGGAATCTTTAGCTGTGGAGACTACAGCAGACACAGGAGCAACAACCAAAACAAAGACCACAAACCAGGGTGAACAAGGGGCAACAGCAGTACCTGTAGGGAATGCCACTGAGGGAGGGAGAATGGGGCTGCCTTTGTTACTGGAGGAAGAGGAAGAAGAACAGGGTAGTGGAGATATGGTATGAGTCCAAAGTCCTAACTTCTTGGATATTTTATATACTTGTAATGATGTTGTGATGGGTGTGTTAAATTGATTATACTGTGTGTGTGTTTTGTTTTGTTTTTTTTCTTTTGCAGGAGTTCCATGAGGCTGTGTCTATCAGCCCCCCTCACAGCCCAGCAGCAGCTAGTACAATTCATGACTTGTCACCAACCCTCTGGCATGCTCTGGATATATGGAGGAGCATCATGCATAGAGGTACTGGGTTGAGACAGGCTTTAGAGGGACTGAGCATGTGTGGAACAGGCCTGAATACAGAGTTATGGTATGTTAGGTGACCTCATACAATTAGATTGAGGCATAACTCCTGATTTAAAAATATTTGTCAAAATAGTTAAGAACACAATAGTGTTTATTATCTTTGATGATTTCTTCCTTATCTTAAGAGATATAAATGCAGTTCTTGTCATGGATTGCCTTATTTTTGATTTTGTTACATTGCGCCTATTTTTCTGTGTTATAAATGTTGCCCTATAGAGGGTTAATTTGTTTTGAATTTTCCTGGTTTGGCAACCAAACCAGGACGAAAAGGTTTTTCTACTTGATAACATAAATTTTGCAGTGTATGAGGCAGTTAGCCATAATCCTATCATTTCTCTGTGTACACATTTATGTTGTACTCGCCTCTTACTAAGTTCTCTCTTGTATCACTGTAGGATGGACGTCTGCTGCGCTTTTGAAGTACTCACGGAAGTGTCTAAACGTGATATTACTGTTCTGCGCACTTTTCAAGCCTTAGCCGCTGGTATGTTTACCAAACCGGCAGAGATATCAGACGCGCATGGGAGTCACATTCACGTTTGCAACAACTGTTTGTCGACATTAACTGGACACCAGTCCTTATCAGGCCCAGATCTACATGACGATGGTTTCAAGTTAAATCATGAAAAAACTCGATCAACTTCAGGCTTCTTATCTGTTAGAAAGACTCCAAGTTTTGTGAAAGGATTGCGTGACTTTGCTAACCTTGGCCTCGAAAATGACAAAGCCAGGCAGCCAGAGGATGAAGCAGAGAGCATTAAGTCACGCGATACTTTAAGTGACACATCTGAGGCAAGTTTCGCTGATGTAAGTAGTGAGGAAAGTGAAAACCATGAAAGATCTGGATTTGTTCGTGGCAGTTCGACGAGCGACTTGCCGAAAACCTACAAGAAAACAAGGAGAACAATTGCCGGTAAAGATGAAAGCAACTCTGAATCTGAGGAAGAGATTGAAAAACCACTAAAATCACAAATAAAGAAATCAAACCAAACAAAAATTCTGGAAAAGAAAACTGATGGATCCACACGAGCACATGGTGGAATAGCGGTGCGATTTAATGTCAAGCAAACAGAGTTTTCATATCCTGGGGGTGGAGTCCCTGCGGCACGAATGGAGAGATCAGTTACTAAGGATAGTCTGTTTAGTGTCCCTGAGACACAGGGTAGCTCTGTTACTCTTCAGTTAGAAGACGAAGGTGAGCGAACTAAACGGCCTACATTATCAGAAGTAAGAAAGTCAGGTTTCGTGGCGATGTTTGGAAAGGAAATATACACCCCCATTGTGGCACGTATAGTTTACATTAAACCTCTGGCATGTTTCTGAGATGTTTCAGTTTTTTTTAATTGCTTCTTACAAATAGCTGTTGATCATTGTTCACAGATGACACCAGTAGCGTCAAGACAGGCACGTCACAATTCTCAAATCCACCTGGCTTGACGGGGTGGCGCTGGGAACTGGCATATCTCTACACAGACTGTATGACGTCAGTTTGTCTGAATGGTCAGAGCTCCACCATCCAGAAAACCGCCCTGCTTGGGAGTGAGGCTAACCGGAAAGTTACCTTATATGGTAAAAGAAACAACATGGTCCGTGAAGGCTTGGGACTCCTAGATCTGCTTAAATTGAATTTTTCTGCGAATCAAGGTTAGAACTTACTCTTACTCGTTCATACTTTTCGTTTCTCTGTATTCCGCGTTTATTTTTGCTTTTTTCCTCAGCAATGCAAAGCTCTAATTAATTGTCTCTTCACAGGTCCCCAGGCTACTCATAAAGATTGGAGTTGGAGAGTCAGGTTTGCAGCCGTGCAGGGCCTGGTGCGTGTTTGCCGTCAGTGTAGTGATGATGCAACAAAAGACGGAATACGAGGAGTGGCCTGGAATCAACTTATGAAGCATCATTCCCAAGAGAGAGATGTACGTGTTTTGGAGGCCTGGAAATTAGCTCAGGTGAGTTGAATAAGTGTTGAATGGAGAGGAATAAATCTGTTTGGTAATCACTAGAAATGTTTTACGGGTTACATTTTGACTTAAGACATGTTCTTTAAAGCGTTTTCTCTGAATGAAATTGAAATAAGAATGAGTATTCTGAACGTTTTCACTGCAGCCTGACATGACAATTGGGTGTTGGATTAAATTTGCCCAACACGATTTCAACAGAACCAATCACAAGGAGGTCTATTCGCTGAACTGTAAAACACTTTGAACATCCGATGTCTTCCAGTTAAATTCTGTAGAAATTTGTTTCTTTTTTTCAATGTGGGAAGGAGAGGGGAGGGAAGGGAAGTTGAGACTGAGAATGCCATCTGAATTCTGAGTTTGTCAGTTTAATGCTTACGTTCCATTGGTTCGTTGCAGATTGAATCATGTCTTGACAACAAGATCCCCTCACTCGATGTCATCAACTCTTCGTTTCCTGTCTGGGCTGCGGGCGGCTTGTCGGCCGTTTTACTTCCTTCGCTTCCGCCAGTCGTACCACCCAGCTCTCGCTCCAGGTCCCGAGTACGCACAACTCAGTCAAGACAAGCAGCGCCTGTAGTCAAGAGAGGTCCCAAGCGTCCTTCGTTAAGGTATAGTGCTTTTTTAACATGTCCGATGAATTTTTGTCTTGGATATTTTTTTTACATGTATAGTTAAAGTTACGACTCGGTACACGTTTTACCTCGTATATTGCGTATGTGGTAATCTCGAGGACTTTCTGCTTAATTCTTACTTATTCGTCTTTGAATTAAACCATTATTCTCAATTTTGCCGACTGATAGTCGTCGCTGTATCTTTTACTTGATTCTCCTGGTTCTGTGAATTTGTTATTGCCTCCCAATAAACTGTTCAGCCGTGAACTTATTTAATCGTATGTTTTTCCAGGCAAGAGATTCTCTTGGCTACAGCAGCACGTGAGCCTCAACCCGACTATGACAGCCGCATGAACCACCACTTAATGCTGGTCATAGAGGACCAGTGGAGGAAACAGCTTCATGAAGAACAGAAGGAAGAGGAAGAACAAAGGAAGATCGATGAAGCAGCCAAAGTTGAAGTCATAGTGACGAAGGACAGAAGACGGACTATCCAGGGGAGGGGTTCGGGTGATAATAAAGGGAAGGAGATGGGACGGAGAAGACTTGAGGAGAGGTCTGGTCAGCAGGTTATTGAAGATGACATGAAAGAAGTGTAAGCATAGAACGGAAGGTGACTTTGGATGGGTAACTACTGGAACAGACAAAATAATAGACTTCAAAATGAAAGCGAAACAGAGAATAGATAAACTAAGATGAAAGTCATACGAATAAAACCTGAGAATGTCTGAGGAGCCGAAGAGAACCCTGTGTAGATATGACATGAAGTATAGCGCGTGGCTTTTTGACCCATATCGATCAAATTGCAAGCTCTTAATTATATATCTAATATTTTTGTCTTAGACTATTGTGCTGTTTTGAAGCATCTGTTTGTTAAGAGTACCACGTTTTCGTTGCCAGATAGACCAAATAAAGTCAGTCACCTGACAGATAAATACTCCATGAACAGTGTTATAATTCATTGAAGTCACAAGTAGGCGGAAGGAAGGCTCCATCAGACATTCCCGCCGTTTTTATCAAGCAAGTATTTTTCCTCTGAAGCCAGATTTATCGGTGATTTCTCAATGACAGTCGGAAAGAAACCATAGGGAAATTTAAAGAGTGTGCTGATGTGGTTGATGCCTTGATTCTACCCTAACGACCCTATCACCTGGTTTGCGTTATCTCACGAAAATAATACCTGCGCGTGCGTCTATCTCACTCATCCTTTCCTTTATCTACTACTTTAATCGTGGTATGAAGTTATAAACCAATTTTTTTCCCATAAAAGACTGTTTACTTTAGTGGAAAATTAATGTTCTGGGATTAGGAAATCAATCTTTTTGGCAAAATTATTTCTTTGAAGAAGCAATTAACACTCAAATGAGGGGGTGAAAGGGGTTTAAGCGTGATGCAGAATTAGTGTTTTTAATTTTCGTGACCAGTGAGAATACGAAGTTAAATCCCCGTAAACTGTAATTTTTTTTCTTTTTGTGATACGTGAACCGTAAAGTACTTTATCCAATTATTCGTGATATGTTATTTCTAATTTCTGATGTGCGTGTATCGTGCGTAGGACCCTTCCCCCCCCATTATCCCATCTTAAATAACAGTGACATTCGATTGAGGCGTCGAGATCAAACGGGTAAGTCAAAATTTTTTATTGGGTAATCAACGATAAGAGAACTGGAACCTCCATTTATGATGATGTTCTTAATTGTCGTGTAGGAGTTAAGTAAATAAACTTTTATCACTTTGAATAATTTTAAATTATTAAAAGATGCGTTCTTTTATCTAAGTTCTTCTCATATTGTTCCAACGCTGGCGTGAAATCCTTTTGAAAACAGAAGTGCTAAGTGTAAATCCATTATAAATAGTGCACTTTATTGTGTCTCAGTACATCTGCCATTTCATTGGATTGTACGGTCGATTTGTTTTCAATAGTCTCTCATAGAGACGCCTTTGTGTTTCATTTTCATTTCGAGTTGTCAAATTTAGTCGCTGTCATGCAAGTAATAGATCAGTGAGACACTAACAACTAAACGGCAAGTTGTGCTCTGAAACCTCCGCTTTTAAGAAAGAAGTTGTGGTGCTGTGAGGAAATGTTTATTACGGTCCGTTATGGTGGTAAGTTGTCCGAGTCATGTATCTATTATGAGTTTTCCTTTAGTACCGATTATTTTGCTTTGAACACAATAGCCCACGAAATAAAACCGATTTACATCTCTTGCAGACGGCGAAGAATCTATCTTTAATCCAAACTGTCGGACAAACATTCTATTAGAGGATATCAAACGACGCTGCAACTGCACAAAAGATGGTAAGATCCCTAAGAATTTTCATCAAGTAGCTTGTGAATGCCTAAATTACCGCGCTAACCCGATATTAAGTTGATTGCTTTCTTTTAGCCACGGTAGATTTGAGTGATGAATCGGGAAATCTCAAGTATTTAGCTAATCACCCCATGAGTTATGCTACAGAGATACTAAAAGAACGAGAATCACTGGTGTTGATAAGAGTAGAAAGTAAGTTACTACATCTCGCTTTGTTTACTTTTCACCAAGAGTTTTTATAGCTCAACTTGTTTTCGTTATCTGTAATTTATATCTAACTTATGCTTTGTTGATAAATACTCAGTCTATTTGTTGAGTCAATAATTACTTTCCTTCATTCGTTATTTTCCTTCTCGGATGCTATCATTTTTCCTGGTTGCTTTATCGTTAACTTTTACGAGCAACTGCCAGAAGCACTTCGAGAAATTTCTCTAACTTGAATAAACTTTATGAATAAGTAATGTGTTCACTGACTGAGGACCACAACAGTGAACCCAAACAATAGACCTGTGCTATTCTTAAGTCAGTCGACATTTCTCCATATCATCGTTTTAAACATTAAAAAGTTATAAACTTTCTTGTGCAGCTGTCCATGCTGTGACCGTTTTGTGAACGAAATTTTGTGATGAGTCAATGCCAAATTGACAAGTTGATCGGTGGCAGCTTGCAATTAACAGTGATACGAAAAAACAACAGGGATTCTTAGAAGAACTCAATTACGACTGACGTGGTTAGCTGTGCTACCTCACCCTCACTCTCTCAGAACTTAGAAGTGATCGTGAAATGATCCTTAAGTATTTTTCATCCACCAATTTTTTTTAGAAAAAAGTGAAGCCGAAGGTGATAGTTATACGCCGATGCTGAATGACATGATTATTGTAACTCCACAATTTTTAGGTACGTAAGAACGATATTTAATTAATACTTACCTGGTTCAAATCTAAATTTCACGCAAATGAGTCGACCTCGAACCGACCTTGAGCCAAAATCTCTGTTAGCATCCAATGATCGAGATTCGAGTGGTGCCTGCATGAAACTTTATTTGGGTTTGTGGAATAAAAACAAGAACGGTAAAGGAGGATCGAACACGGAAGGGAAATAAGAGAACTAACACAAGTTTAATTAACTTTCTCCTTTACAGAGCGTCTTTCGAGATGCGAGAGTGACAGTCTTAACGCCAAGAATTCTCAGGCCAAACCAGTTCGAATTAACAGTCCCTTAACTAAAAGACAAACCGGACTTCAAGGAAAAACCAAAACTTCATTAACATCAACATCAGGCAGGAGTAAAATAACATCCAGAGAAAAAACCTCGGCACAGAAGCGAAGCAGTAAAGACATGAGATAGGGACGTAGAAAATGAAATAGCTACTGATATAAAAATTTAATGAAAACTCAGGACAACTATCAAAACGTAAAGGCAATCAAGTTTTATTAACAGTACTTGCAAGACAATTATTCCAGCTAAAAAAGATGCACATTCGCATTGATCGTCACACGAGAGGCGTTTCTTCACGAGGGGGAAAGGACTGGTGCAACAATTTTCTCTTGAAGTTAACGACTTCGGCCTTGAAATTCGCCCTCTGTTCGCATGGGCTAGCACTAATATTTTTTTGCCAAACCCCTGACACGTTCTTAATTTGAGTAAACAAGATAAAATTAAAAACTAGATTACTTAATAAATAAATTACTCGGGTCTTCTTGTAAAATCCCTTCATTTTATTTTTGTGACATAAAATTGCTCTACGAGAAAAATGGCGCTTCAAATTCCCATACAGGAACTGTCTGTCAACTTTTTGAAAAAACCATCTCGAGTCCAAAGAGTTATGCGAATAGGGGAAATTTTATCGAGCCTCAGAAAAAACGGCATAGCTTGTGGCTGGTTAGCCTGTGCTAAGTTTCCGTAACAGTACTCTTTCAATTAGAATAAATAAATAATTGTTAAATATTGCGATAATTCTTATGAATCATATCCATCAAAATTATTTATTGACTGTGATTTTCCTTCCGAACATCAAGTGATTACGTTGACAAAAAGACAATCCAATAACATAGATTAAAAAGTAAATATGAGACTGGGAAACAAAACCTGGCGTATTTATCAACAGTATTCACTGTTACGTCATCTCTAAAGTTATTCACAAAATCATCGTCTTCAGATGACATTTGTTTGCGGCGACCTTGAGAGGTCTGGTGACTATCACCATCTATATTGTTTTCATGCAACGAATGGTCGTAGGTGCTGTTCATGTCTCCAATTCTGTTCCTAGAAAGTTTACGAAGATCGGATTCCTCCTGAAAAATTAAAGTTATTCCGAATTTTATTGAAAAGTTGACTAAAACAGGCTGCGAAGGGAACGGGAAAGAGTCTCGTTGCTTCTGCTTGAATTAAGAACTGTTACCTCAAAGTGTTTTTTGATAACTTATCGCATGAATTTCCTTATGCAGTTTGAGAAAATAAGCAATCGTAAATTTTGTACCTTACTTGTTGTTAAACTGCTACTCGGGGATAATGTCTACTATCTCGTTTCCAACAAGCTCGAATGGAATAACAATTTTAATGAAAACGACCCAAATAGCCCTGCAGGGCCGGGTTGTTCAAAGCTGGGTTAAGATAACCCAGGGTTAGTGTGAAATCCGATTTCAGATCTAAAAGCTTTAAAAGAACATTCAGTCGAATTCTTTTTGTCTAGAGTATGACTATTTGATGCTTTAAAAAGGACACTGAAAATTTTCCCAAAAAGGCTTTAGAGTAAAGGAATAAAGAAACCCAGATTAAAATCTAACCCTGGGTTAGCGCTAATCGGCCTTCGAACAACTGGACCCTGGAGTTTTACCGATGGTATATCGCGTGGTATACCAGGGTTCCTTGGCCAATCAACACTGTCGGAATGCATTATGTAATGATTCATCTACCTTGTCTGTGCTACCGTATCTTGTCCCTGATAACGGAATATCTTCAGGGTCTTCCTTCAGGCCTTTAACCTTACGTAGAATGTTCGTTCCCTTTCGTGACAGTTTCTGGGCTTGAGACTTGACAAAAGTGGAACTCGGGTATTCGACCAAAGCAGCGAACACGTAGAGAAAGGAGACACACAGAAACCAGTCAATTGCTTTTACGTAGCTCACTTTCGGCATCGACGACTGAATTCCGAAAATCAATGTCGTCAGGGCGAGGACGGTCGTGATTCCGAGCCCGACCCGAGCTGGTGGAGAGTTTCGTGGGATCCAAAAGGAGACCCAACTCAAAATGGTGATTAGAATTGTTGGAATATAAATCGAAACGACGTAGTAGAATTTTTTTCGTCTAATGTAGAAAGTTAGCTGCAGCATGGAAAAATTTCCTGTAACAAATCGATAAGTTACTTCAGACAAGGATTTAGAAAACTCCTTGTGATACTTGATGTACAAAGAAACTATGCATTTATACGATGCACCTGACCCCTCCCCTTCTTATTTTGTTTTGCGGTTGTTTTATTGTTTTGTTTTATAGCTATTTGAGATAAAGCATTCTAAAATGTTGTATCACCAGGGTCATGGAGAGAGCAACCTGGGTTACTACCTACTAACTCTGTCCTTGACTGGGAACTAGCCACATTTAGTCACCTAAAATCTCGTGCGAGTGGAACTCGCTAACAATCACACCGCATATCTGATATCGGATTGTTAAAATTTAAAATCACCGTTTTTCGACGGAGACTCAATCTAACCCCGCCCGGTAAACTGTTTTATCTGGACCCAGGCTAATGAAGTTGTAAGCTCTGAAAAGTTACTTCTTCATACCTGTAACATAGGAGGCTGTTATTTCACGGACTGAATATCCATCGAGTGCGAACTGTGACATGATCAGTTCGTCTCCTATTGCCACGGCGGTTTTCAGATCGTCACTCCCGTCCTTTACGTCCCACTTGAAGAATAGGTCATCTGTGGTCATACCATCTGCCAAATAATTCCATGAGGTTTCAGAGAAATAACAGTTTTGTGAAAATGAATATCAGAAATATATCTACTTCTTATTCTTGAAGTTAGAGGGAAATTCAACTAAAACTCCGTAAGCTTTTCCAGACGCAGGCAGTCAATAACTCTTCCAGGCGGGATAGTAGTTTGGTTAGTGGGTGCATGAATACTTAAGAAACTGTGTGACAATAACAATGTAACTGAAAAATTCCACAATTTGTCATAATTTTGAATGTGATCCTAAGAATACAGTCATTAGTCCAAGAAACATACAGCTTTCGAAGAGGAGACTACAGTTTTGCTTATCCATGGGGTAATTCCGGAGATCCATCTTGCAAGCCGCAATTACAGTCATTCTAAACAGAGAAATAAGCGAAATATCAGGAGAAGAAATATCAATTACGCACGAAAGGATAAAGCTAAAAGTTTGTTGGGATGGCATCCGTGCGCAAGGAATTCAAAGACCTATTCACCAGCCAAGTAAAAACAGTTTCGTGTTGGCTCAATAATCTAATTCGTTTACTGAGATTCTTGCAAAACTCTTGCGCCTTAGAACAGCTCAAGAGAAGCTTTACTTTCCCAACCTATCGCACTCTGGCTTGCATGGCAAGCTGCAGAGGCGGCCGACTGAATGTCCCTGGGGACTTCCTATGTATGTTTGCGTTCATTTGTACACTTAAGATTAACAACGGTCTTCCATCTCCCAGAAGTCCACCGACCATAGTACGAAGAAGCATGTTAGCGTGCGAGTAGGACTTCATTATCAGCGATTCGGGAAGAGTCTTTGATCGCCCACGGGAAATTAGAAGGCATTTGTCTATAAGGTGTATAGCACTAGCAGCCACTCAGGACAAACCTCTCCCCGGCTCGCCTCAAATCTTCTCGCGGAGGGTGAAACGCGCTTCCTGCATAATAATAAGGAACACGTATGAAATTGCAGTTTTGAGCCAATATTACTTGATTATTACCGTTGACTGTAGATAATTTTTCCATCTGGAAAAACCATGAGTAGAAATTCTTGTTTTGGTGCTGAGCTGGACTTTTCATTGTTCACGTAGGTGTCTGGTATCCAAATCTGTTGCATGATGTCTCCATTCAGGCTCAGATTTCTTTTAACATAATCTTTCTCAAACTGAAGTCGAGAGTCTTGCCACACTTGTCTCATAAAGAACGTGCTTTCAAATTGCTGGGGTGAAAACAATAAAATGAAACAAAGATCGCGACACTTGTGTTAAACTGTTCCATATTATGGAACCAACATAATGACCAGGTCCCAATTGGCTTGTTAGCTCAGTTGGTAGAGCACTGCATCGCAGAGGTCATGGGTTCAAATCCCGTACAGATCTGAATTTTTTTCAGGCCTTATTTTCACTACTTTCAAACAGTGTTCATTACTGCGAAGGTCGCTCTCATATTCACGTCTTTATCCGCAGTTCACATACATGATTTTCGTATATTCACAGTCATTTATTCCTATAACTGTAATCTAAATCGTTCTGCTGAGCACCAAGTGAAGGCGCTCCCAGATATTCATGCAATACTACATTCCATACCTGGCAAAATACTTCTAACAAATCTATACCGCGAGGGCTGAACGGAATACAAGAAGTACCAACTCATTCTAACAGAAATCTTAACCGTTCTAAAACATCTAGTAAAGTTTATTGATTTCATACCATCGTATGGGAAATTCTATATAGCCTAACCCACAGTGTATGAATGACACGAGTTCTGAAGCATCAAGAAATGTCCAATTGGAAAAAGTGAGTTAAAACCAAGAGCAGCGTGTATTTTACGTGAACTCTTAGAGGCGCGCCTCGCTTCCCACGGTTCATTAGGCACTGAGGCAGTTTCCGCCGACATCGATTTACTCGAACGATGGATTCTGCTGTAGAAAAGGGCTATGTTCATAACCTAAGCACATACTGTATTTTTGATATGAATGCAAATATTAAAATTGCGTAGATTGATTTATCAATTTATCGGGGAAGAGTTCGTCAATCAATTAAAAACATCTTTTAGGCGAGATTAATTAAACACTACGAAACCCCATGTTCTCTTAAAATAAATTATTTTGTTATCCAACTACGAGCACTCAGTGTGGTACAATTAACACGCGAACCGAATACAAATATCCTCCGATATTGGAGAGTTGGTTTTTTTGTACTGTAAAAAAAACCTGTTTAACCGGTCAGCTCCGGGCGCCATGCTTCTCTATCTGCTTCGCTTTTCCCAATTTTTAAGAAATGCCCTTGAGATAAAGCAGTTGGATAATAAATAACTTATTAGAAGTTTTGGTGTGTAGTATTGCTGAGTATTTTTGACAGGCCCGCAGGGCGAGTCAAAATACAAACAAAAAGTCAGCACTTAATCCTTCCTTAGCTTCAACATCCCCCTCACCATTTCTCTTTCATCCAATCCTCCCAGCGATGTAACAAACACTGTCACCAATACTTTCACGGGGCGGCCTGAGAAAAGCAGAAAAGTGTTACATGACCATCAGTCAGCATCAGGATTCCTCGGAAACATCAAACAGCACCATCTCTCGCTATAAAACAACTGTGATTGGTAATTTAGTGTTAACAACTGGGTTGAAAACGTAAATTGGCCACTGTAAAGAGTTTAAAGGCTGACGTTTCGAGCGTTAGCCCTTCGTCAAAGCGATTGGAGGAATTGTGGGTTATGCGTCGGTTTATATGCAGAAAATGGAGCTACGCTACTGGTTGGAATATGGTGACGAGAAAACAAGAATAAACTAATTGAATGAAAAGCTCTCGTTGATACCGTGGGGATTAAGGGTGCCGATTTGGAAGATGATTTTTTTATCTAGTGTTTTGCGGCTTTCCGAACTGCCCAGATGTAGGGAAAGGCCGCAAATTCCCACATGTTGTTTAGAATGATTAGGGAGATTAAATTGGCTAGAGACTGGCTCGGATGCGTCTTTGTCATTTCTTTCTACGTCGCGAAGGTGTTCTCGGAATTGGTCACCTAGTAATCTTTCTGTTTCACCAATGTATAACTTTTTGCAATAAGTGCAAGTTATGTAGTAAATGACATTGGCGAAGGTACACGCAAAGTGATCAGTGATCTTAATGGCTCTCCTGGGTTCCGAGATTTTCTCTACGTTATGAATGAAAGGACAAGTTTTGCATCGTAAGCGAGCGCATTTGAAAGTCAGTCCAGGTTGGTAATTGGTTTGAAATGAACTTGTGACCAAAAAGTTGCCTATGTTTTTGTCACGTTTGAATGAAATTACTGGAGGTTGCAAAAAAGATAGTACCATTCTCTGAATCGTTTTGGAGTAATTTAAAGCAGTTTTTAAGAATGATAGACTTAACCGCGTGGTTGTGAGGGTGAAATGTGAGAGTGAATGGAATGCAGTCAATGTTTTCCTTCTCAGCCGTTTGACCGTCGATTAACTATTTGGGCACGGTGGTGACCCGCTTGAACGACAGAAACAGGATAGCCACGTTTTTCGAAAAACTTACACACTGCCTCTGATGTTTTGGAAAATCAGAGTCGTCACTACATAAACGACGAAGTCTGAGAGACTGTGAAAAAGGTATGGAATTCTTGACGTGTGATCACGGATGCGAGGATGAATACAGCAAGTAAATATGTGAATCTATAGGTTTGTAGGAAACAGTAGTTCATAAACCGTTGCCTTCAATTGAAATTTTGATGTCTAGAAAAGCCAAAGAAGTGTCGAAAATTTCCCAGGTATATTTGAGAGCCGGGTGAAAGGAATTGACGGCGGTTATGAATTGAGTGAGCTCCTCTCTGGTAGAGGAGGTAGCGCTGATACAGTCGTCAATGTAACAGCTGTAGAGTTCAGGTTTGGGGTCGTGGTATTGACTAAAAAATTGTGATTGGTCTCTCTAAGAACAGTGAATTGATCTTTATGATAATAATTGTAACCCCCCAGGCTGCGATTTATTATTATTTTTTTTTATCTTTTTTAATTAAAACTTGTAATTTTAGAGTTTCTAACTGTGAGATGAACTAATCATACCTTCAAAGTCAGGTCTAAATCTCTTGTCGTAATGTTTCTCATCAAGGAGCCTGCGCAGTACAACCGATGCGTTCCTGCCACTCCAGTACGTAAGAGAGCTTAGTGAAAAAAAGTATTCAAACGACATTAAACCACAAACTGTAAAATTCAAACATTTCAGCGCTATCGGCCAGAAATGGAAATTGAATATATATCAAGATTTCAGCGAAGCCGTTCCCTGGCAAATTCTTACCATTCCCTCGTCCCTCTCCCAAATCTTCATTCGGTAGAAATTTCCAGAAATTTATTTTTTAGTTTTTTGCACTATACTAAATATTATTCAAAAGCCTCTTAAAATCCCTCTCTAGTGAGGCAAAACACGGTTTTAGTTGTTATACAACGTACCTACTATAGAAAGATCAATATTTCATTTATTAATGTGATAGAGCGAAACATCATGCAACCGTAAATTAAGCTGACAACCACCTCGCTGTCTATTTACATTTTGTAGTAAACGGAGCTTTCTCTGTTCATTAAAAATACATAAATCGTACGATTCCTTTTGATAAGAAATTTTCCACTGACGCTGTTCTCTCACTATTAATGGTAAACACTGTTTTTCCCCCTCGCTGAAGGGAGAGCCATTAAAAGAGGGATGGATGAGGTAACCTTGATCAAACACTCAGTGTACTTCAAGTTTCTCTCGTTCAATACTTCAGACTTATATTTGCAAAATTTTATTTTCATCTATCTGCAACAAAATCGTTCAATCGGTTGATTGAAATGTTGCTGTCGATGTTAGCCGCCTGATTTTAGAGTAATTACCGTCTGAATCACTTTTTTATCGCTTACGCGTTTTAGCAGTATAATTTACGATAATCATCACCATTATTTCGCCTTTGATAGTAGTTGAAATTAAGAAAAAGTTTTAGTTCTAAACTAACCTTACTAGTGAATCTTACCTGGCACAGGCTGAAGTGAAAAGAATCGCTGCTAAGACCGAGAAAGACATTCGAAGCAGCATTTGTAGACTCCACACGGTAAGCTAAGTACTAACGGTCGAAACACATCGCTTTCTTTACACATCCACACTAAAAAGAAACCTGAAAAAAATGAAAAAAGTAGAGAAGGAGAAGAAAGAACGAAATACATTTGGCTACGAAAAAAACCAGCTACACGAAATGATCATATTATTGACCCTGACCTGCCCGAGTAGGCGCAACCCAACAGTCATGAAAGCGCTTTCGAAAATCTCTTCAATCCTGATTGAAATCTGCTTTGGACGGATTTCAAGAGATTTGTTTGTAAAATGTCTTTCAGTCATACACAGCTGTTCTTTGCTTTGTTATGTTTGATGGCCTGTCCTCAGATCCCGCCTATATTCTCTATAATACAGCAGTAAAGTGCCTGTTTCCCATTATCATCTGCTTTTAGACGTGAAAAAAAATACGTAATTTGCTCGAATAATGATTAAGTAGCAGTTTTATACTCAGCCGCATTAAAAATTTCATAGGAATAAACGATCGTAAAATCCACTTAGCTTCAGAACTAAAATTATTCAAGCTTTTATAACAGACTAGAAAGCGTCATTTTTTTTGCATTGCAAATTAGAATTTTTCTTTGATGACAGAAGCGGTTGACGGTTTGTTTGTAGCACAAATTGCCAAAAACAATTGGAAAAAATATGCGCCAAATTTCAAATATAAAAATTAATAAGCTTACGTCGCTCTCAAGCTCTCTTTAGTTGACGAAAAACTTTAAGTTCTTTCTTATGGCAATCTACTAAAGATCAAAATCGTTAAACGAAGATGAAATTTAAAGGCTGCCAGAAACAGCGTGAAACTTTGTTGATACAAGATATCCAGCCACGTCAAATAGACACCCTAAGCGAGATCTTTTTTTTTTACAAAAGAAAATATCGGATCTGAACTTCTCCTAACCAAACTACTTTAGGGCGTCGAAAAAGGAGTCACAACAAAGAGTGTTTGGGGAACGTTCTCCAAGTGACGAAAGTAAAATCCGTTTAGGTTCTTCAGAGACACGAGTGGGAAGCGTTTGCATTGGAGTCAATTGAAGTACATTGAAGTTTTCTTTCCGCACACCAACAACAATACACAACATCTGACGATCTTCTGAGATCCTTTAAGGAACGATCATGATACATGATAAAATTTGTAGGCCAACGAATTGCAGTATGTTTATATATATTCTACTGGCACTGAAACAAATAATTAAAAAGGATCGAGTACTGTTAGAACTGTCTGCTCAAGTATTAAAATTGCCAATTTTTATTCAGTCGTCAACCTCCTAGGAAGAAGTTCTAATTTTACGAAACATTCTTTCAAGAATCGAACTCGTTATTTTGTTTAGTGTGGCCACCAACACTAATTAGATGGTGTCAATCTCTTTTTCAAAACATTCTAAATTGAATTTTTAAACAAATTTCGATCAATATTTCAAACAGAATGATAAAAAGTTCTTGGTGATCGCTTATACATATGAAACAAAAAACGACAGCTGATCAAGTCAAAGGTACAATATTGAGGGCTCTATTGTATCCCAAGGAGTGCAGACTAGGGTTTGAAGCAAACGAGTTTTTCTTATCCGTAGTCCTTGCAATAAATTTCATTGTCCGTGTATCAAGGTGGTGAGGGTTTAGTCCTCTGTAAAAGGACACACTTTTTCGTAGCTTTGTATTAATACACACCAATCATGAGCGAGTCAAATGAAAAATTTCGAAACAAAGAATTATTTGAAACCAAATTGCTTTTGGAGAACAATTTCAGCATAAGCACGACAAAAAAAACTTGGATTGAACTGTTTGTAGAAAAAGACAGAACCCAGGTTTTCTTTACCTTCACGATGTGACGAGTAATCAAATAGTGAAGAGGCAAACAAATTCTTCCATCTTACCTCAGTGACACGAGCCAAAGCTGTCACTCCCCAACTGAACGAGCGGCATTCGTTCTCTTTTGTACTTTTATTGCATGCATAATAATTGATTATATTTAATTGATATATGAAGGATAAATTTAAATAACGCTGGCATACGATCAATGGTAGTGATATTACTGGTATTATTGCACTCTCTCATCTGGGCTTGTTGCTACATCTTTGGGGTAAAAATGAGAAACATGTCGCTCTCGATGTCTGTTTCATTACAATTTCCCTTCAGAGCAGTTTTACTATGCATCGTTTGTTCGTAGAAAATATCAATGAAAACTGAGGAATAAATTGATATCACATTAAGTATTAAAAGCCTTATTTGTGCGTTAATTCATCGGTCGTTTATAAAATATTTGCATTTTTACTTTCATCTATCATTAAAAGGGCAGTTGTTATCTTTGCTAGCCCCATGTACAGCCTGAATTTGTTAAATGATATCGAGATAAACGATTTTGCATCAGCGTCATTAAAATATATATTCCTGAATCAACATTAATTTTAGCACTAAGTTCTTTAATTATTAGCAGAAAATTCCAAATTGGCACGAAGACAGGATGTGTTTGCTGTTTGTGTCTCAACATACATACGCTCAAACTGAGATCTTTCTTTCTTCAAGACGCACCTCCTACCGACCATGCTCTTTGATCGTAAAGTGCATCTATATTTTTAGCTTTTTTTAGTGAAACTAAAACAGTTTTAGCAAGTTGCATGCCCTGAAAACTAGTTTAGAACCGGGCTAAAAAACGCAACTTTCAAATGAGGAAAAAAATATTGTTTTAACTCTGTGCTGATAAATAAATGTAATTCACGAAGGTTTTAAAATTAATTCACAAATGCAGCGAAAAACTATAACAATGATCTATTGGACGTAAAAGGTTAAAGTTAATTCACTCGCATATACATAATTATTAAACTAATTTAAGTTGTCGTCATTTGACTTTTCCTGATTTTGTCATTAAGAAGATCGTAAAAAGTAAACAAGCTGATTTCAACTCTCCACTTTTTTTTAATAACAATTCACAGTCATTGTGTTGAAAATTACACCGTCAAAGTAATTATCAGAATGTAAAATATGTTTGTGTTCGATAGTTAGTCAGGTGAAGTTTTCATTCAGAATCATCCAATATCTGTGGGATCCAAGAGATTTTCATTCACCTTCTTTCATTTCGTTCAAAGAAAGCTACTGGCTGATTTATCTATTTTCAATCAACTTATCGCACCCATGTTACTAAAGAGAGTGATTTCAAGTCGGTAAAAGGGGTGCAATTTCCCTTCAATCTGAAAGGTTTCGGTCAGTTTCTAACCGGAAAACTTCATATTCTCAGTTTTGTCATCGGTGGCTCACTGAAATGCACTCACGCACGCTTATGACCTCTGGCACACTTGAAGTCGCCACGCCATTGGTAGCTTACTATGCGAATCTTTCGGCATATCTTTATTTTGAATATTGATTTAAAGAATACCTACGTGGACATAAAATATTAGCGTTAAAAATAAATCAAACCCAATCTGAAAAACTAGTTACAAATTTACCACTGATCCAGTTTTCACATTTTCCACTTAGAACATAGCCCTAAGCGATCGAAGATTTTGAATGGAAAGCCAAGTTTTCAAGAACTTCCATTTTCTTTGAATAAAAAACAAATTGAGTTTTAAATGCTTCCAACAACTTATAACAATCGCTTAACCTCGCCCATAAAAGAGGTCCTACTGTAGTTGCACTAACTTCCTTCAAGATAAGAAATTATTTTAGTGGATGTCATCTCACTCAACTGGGCCTAGATTTTTCAGTAAACCAAGTTTCGCGTCGTGGTCGTCTTAGAGCTGCGATCGACAAGAGACACAGGAAACCGCACAGTGGTCTGGGTTCCAATGTCCCCATGCGCACTACGAAGATTTCTTGCACGTGGAAACATGGCGGACTCTGGTTAGTGCCAATGCAATTTTCTAAATTCAGGCATTCTCGCCTCTGAAAATAGCTTCTTTTTTTTACATCTTACCATTTTTTCTCTCTGCTAACCTTCCGTAGAAGTTACGCCTCGCAAGAAGCAGAAAAAGGATAAGCATAGGGCTCGGGAAGAAGATTCGGGTAAGCTTGGAAATAGTGTTTTGTAATGCGCGCGTGCAAAACAGTTGCCTGTGTGGATGCTTTATTATCTCTTCCTCTTACAGAGGAAGCGTGTTTTCATTCATTGTAACGGACGATCATCTTGTATTGGTCATAAGGTTCTGCAAAGAAAGAGAAAAAAGTGAAGAGTGAGGCGGCTGATGTGGGCTCGTCAAATCATTTTGGGGTGAGTTGATTGCCAAGGACTCACACAGTTTGCGAGAAAATGTTCTGTTTTGACGGTAGTTTTTTCACCATTGTTAACCTATTTGCATTTAATCACTAGTTATGGTGTGAATATAAATTTCCATCTTTACTGACCAAGATCGTGCTTACTTACTCATTTAGATACACTGCTGTAGATTTCGTGTGGCCATTGTTATCAACATCGTGTTCTCATGAGCGCTTCAGCGGCGTGCAGAAAATAATTCGTTATCAGTTCAAGTTTGAGACGAACCGGTAGCTTCCTATTTCCAATGTAATTAAAGCTAGACATTTTCAGCAATCCAAAACGTTTCTGTGCTGTGTACATCAAGGAGAGAAGATCTTGCTGCAATTGAAATAAACAAAACTATGTATTAAACCTGGGTATACAGGCTGTCTTGCAGAGTAATCTTATGAGAAACGAAGGTATAAAACCTTACTTAAAATTGGTTTTGAACAAGTAAGGCTCAAACATAGAATCCAATCAGTTACAAACAATACCAGCCACAATATATTCTTGTGCTTAAGTAAACACGCCTTGGTCTTGGTGTGTTCATTTTTTCCCTAATTTTAAGTCATCAGGGCCCAAGGTGAAATTCTTATCTGGGTTTCTTTACTCCTTAGTTCAAAAGCCTTTTCAAGGTGATTTTATCTCCTTTTTAGACCATCCTATAGTAAAATTTTTAGACAAAAGATTATACTGAATTTTCTGTTAAAGCTTTCAGATCTGAAATCAGATTTCACACCAACTTTCTATTATCCTAACTCAGCATTGAACAACCTGGCCCTGGTGTCTAACTTTCTAAATGTTATTTTAAGGTTTTTACTCCTTACAAATTATTGTGCTCTTTATTAAATATTTCAAAACATGTGTAGAGCATCAGTATTGAACTTTGGTTGTACCTGTAACCTGTTGAGGTGTTATTTATTAGATTTACTACCACTTATGTAATCATATCTACCTATTCCACTATTGGCAGCCACTTATTAAAATATATTAAAATGCCTGTTATCATCCTTTTAGAATGTAAGTTGAAAATGGATTCCAAGTTCTGCTACTTGCATTTATTTAATTTTTGATTAATTAATTTGTCAAACCCTGTATATTTGCCCACCCAGGAAACTCAACATGAAGAGGATTTCCACTTAAAGCCAACGTCTGCAGCTGGTGTGTTGGACACATCAAAATGGCCTCTATTGCTCAAGGTAAGATGTTATCTGTCCAGTTGTAATCTTGGTGTATCAGTTATTACTAAACTTCCATTGTGTTCTTTTTTTGTGTCACAGAACTATGACAAGTTGAATGTAAGAACTGGCCACTTTACTCCATTACCGAATGGATGTTCTCCTCTGAAAAGAGAACTAAAAGACTATGTATCGTAAGTTACATTATTTCAATTTCTGAGCAATTCATACATTCATGACGCTATATGTACATGTACAGTGCAACCAAGCTCTGTACTGGTGATTACGAAGGAAGTTTTTAAATTTGATCAATTTTTATTTAAATCTTATTATGTTCACACTAATGAGCTTCTTTTTTGAGCTGAAGCATGTTGGTGTGTTACTTTAGGACTATATTTTATTACTACATGGTTAATTATGCATATCTACTTCTGTTATCACAGGAGTGGGTTTATAAATCTTGACAAGCCAGCAAATCCCTCATCACATGAGGTACATTGCATATTTGATACAAAGAATAATATGGTTTAGGTTTCTTCCCTCCTTCTTTCCTTCAACGTATTTAGATGTTACTGTATGCTAGTTTTCCTTGCTAGAGCTTTAATCCTGGCAAGTATAGCCTGGATTAGTCACTATCAGCCAAATATTTTCCCTTGTACAAGGATTCAGGAAGTTTTTATAATAAACTTGGGTTATTGTTTTTTCACCAAAGAATTAAAGGCCTCAACACAATAGCCAGCCAAAAATTTAACAAAGATGATGTCCTTGACAGCCATGAGAATGGGTGTTATGAACTAGTATTGGCTTTCTATGGTCATGCACAATCAAGATTAGAGCTTGTCTTTTTCTGATCAGGTGGTGGCATGGATAAGAAGAATTCTCCGAGTGGAAAAAACTGGGCATAGTGGCACTCTTGATCCAAAAGTGACAGGATGTCTAATTGTGTGCATTGAAAGGGCAACAAGACTTGTGAAATCACAACAGGGTGCAGGTACCAATGAATCTCTTTTTTCATTCTGGTCCATGTTGCTTAAACTCTATGTTTTTAATGGAAGAGCATCATTGTGCAAAAATCAGAACTAGCTGGAGTACTGGTACACTTACCTTTTTTTTTAACAAACATTCTGTTTCTCCTTTGCCCCAAAGGAAAAGAGTATGTCTGCATTGTGAGGCTCCATGAGGCAATTGAAAATGAATCAGAGTTAGCAAAGGTTGGTACATTGAATTTAAATTTTATCCTGAGGATTTTGCAGTTGATATTTAAGATGAAAATTTCAATTCCATCAGTCCTCTTTGCTGTAAAACACACGAGACTTCAGCCATGAAAATCCACTGAACCATTTTCTTGTATGTGTATCATCCCATTTGGAAACAGGCATGTTTTTAACATTTATGTAAAAATCAAAATAAATTAGTGGTGATTAAAGTGAGCATCTTTGTTTTGTTTGCAGACGATAGAGATGCTCACAGGAGCCTTGTTTCAGAGACCTCCACTGATATCTGCAGTTAAACGACAGCTTAGAATAAGAACAATATATGAAAGTAAATTAATTGAGTTTGACCAAGAACGGCATCTTGGTAAGTGCTTGTTTTGAATCACAAAAACACTTCCACCTCCATTTCTCTATATACATACATGTATGTATCTGGGAGGTGTACATGAACAGATGAAGATTTAAAATTTAAGCCTTTATCTTGACATTGCAGGAGTGTTTTGGGTGAGTTGTGAGGCTGGGACCTACATAAGAACACTTTGTGTCCATATTGGATTGTTAATGGGGATTGGTGCTCACATGCAGGAACTCAGAAGGGTGCGCTCAGGAATTCAGTCTGAAAATGTAAGTCTCTTAATGTATGTTTTAACATTCACACTGAACACTTTTAATTTACAACTTTCTTGTTGATGTTTTATTGCTTTCAGCTGCATTTGGATTTTTAATGTCAAGGTTATGACATTTATTATTTTTCTTTAAATGAAGAAGATAGTAGTGAGAGTAAGGTTTGTGTTTTTCAGGATAACATGGCCACTATGCATGATGTTCTTGATGCACAGTGGATGTATGATAATTACAAAGATGGTAAGTTGCTGCTGTTGATTGGTTGAAAGGTATGCAAGCAATAATAGTGTTTTGAACAACAAGAGTTAAGTGTCAAAAACAAAATATATTATTTCACAGAATCCTATCTCCGCCGCTGCATCAAGCCATTAGAAGCCCTTCTAACTTCTCACAAGCGTCTGGTTGTTAAAGATAGTGCTGTAAGTACTGTTTTGCTGTGTAAGATTTGATGAATTAAGGAATTTTAGCAGTGAGAACAAAATGTGTGTTCTGAAGTCCCACTAAGCTCCAAACATATTTTTAATACGATGTAGCTCAGCTTTTAGTGTATTGCCAAGTTGGAGGCTTGTCATATTAGATGTGGTTAAAATTGCATTATTATTTGAAGAGTCTTTGAATAAATAGGACACTTTCCAAATTTTGTGTGTGAATAGGTTGCTAATAGGTAAAGGTTGTTTTGTAAATTCTTTCACGTAGTATTTTTTCTGCTACATTTAGGTAAATGCCATATGTTATGGAGCAAAATTGATGATCCCAGGTCTATTGAGATATGAATCTGGAATAGAAATGAATGAAGAAATTGTTATCATGACAACAAAAGGAGAAGCTATAGCTCTTGGTGAGTGTTCCTCTGCTAATAACATAGGCCAGTTGGTTAAAGGGTTGGTGAGTGACCGAGTCAGTCAGTTTTTTTGTTAGGCAGTCATTCAGTATGTCTGTCTTTCAGCAAGTCAGTCTATCAGTCAGCCAGTTAGTCTGTCTGTTTGTCAGTCAGCTGGTCAGTCTGTCAGTCAGTTATTCAGTCAGTCTGTCTGTCAGTCAATAAGTGATTCTGTCTGTCAGTGAGTCAGTCAGCCAGCCAGTTAACCAGTTAGAGGCAGTCAGTCAGTCAGTAATTCAAACAGCTGGGTCTGCTGTCACATAGTATGATCATTTTAATAATTTGAATGCCATTGTTTTTCATAGTTTTAATGTTACCAGTTGCATAGAACAAGGTGATGTGGAGGTCAAGTTTTCTATTTTTCCTTTATATAACTATTTTCTTTTTCAGGGATTGCTCTTATGACGACAGCTGTGATGGCAGCTTGTGATCATGGTGTGGTTGCTAAGATCAAAAGAGTTATCATGGAAAGAGACACTTATCCCAGGAAATGGGGCTTGGGACCAAAGGTATGACCAACTTATTTAGACACCAGACTTCTGCTGATCTGTTCATGGTCCTCTCTTTTGACTCATCAATGGCTTTGTTTGTATGAGCTGTGTAATCAATATTTATGGCCCATTTCTATCTCATGCTATTCCATTAACTCTATTCTTTTATCTTAGTGTCTGTGTGACAAAATCAAACCTAACTCAGTAGAGTTACACACACAATCAAGACTTTTTGCATCATGGGAGTTAATTTTTGGAAGTGACATGTGCTCAACCATGCAAGAACAATATTGTTTAAGATTCAATTAAGCAAATGCAATAATGTTGGTACAAACTTGCTATTGGTTACATACTGCTATTGTATATCAGTGTACCATTCTCTCTGGAACCTTGCAGCCTGTTAAGAAGTCAGACCTCAACACTCAGAGTTGCAATAATTTAACATTCTACTTGATTTTCTTGCTGGTGTTTTTGGTGAGTCTCTTATTGATGTTTTCCCACCCAGGCACTTCAGAAAAAACAGTTAATTGCATCTGGTAAATTGGACAAATATGGCAAACCAAATGAAAGCACACCCAAAGAATGGATGCAAAGTCACCCAGATATCAGGTTTGTGTCACATGAATGGGGATTTAAACACGGGCTTCAATCCTGAACCTCTTTCTAATCAGGGTAATTTAGTATTATCAAATGAGATGACTACATAAATTGGCCATGGTAAAGAGTGGCCAATTTACATTATCAACTCATTTTATAATACCAAATTACACTGTTATACTCTCCCATCACCCCTTTACTCTTTCTAATCAGTTGTTTGCCTTTAGTGTGGATAAAACTCCAGTGAAGGATGAACAATCTGCTGGTTTACCTAAGACACCCAAGGAAGAACCCATGCCTGGTGCTCCTGTGACACCCAAGGAAGTTGAAGAAGGGAAAAAGGTGTGTTGCAATGATAAGTAGTGTGCAGGCTAAAAGAATCAGACAATGGATTCAATTAACTGTCTAAATACAGAGTGATTACAAACCCAACTGGTCTAGAAATTGATTGCAACTCTATATGCGCCTTGTTATTTGAATACTTCAAGGTCTGCTTTCTCGTTATCCAAGTGTGTCCAATTGTAATACAGTATGTCCTCGATATTTAGTTTCTTGTTTGTTTACTTTCGATACTTTTCTAATACACAGAGGAAAAGAGACACAGAGGGTAGTGATGAAGAGAAGGAAACTCCAGGAAAGGAGAAAAAGAAGTCCAAAAAAGACAAAAAGAAATCAAAAGAGAAAGAGAGCAGTGATGAAGTAAGTTCCTCATAAAGGACTGTTTTATTGGCTCAAACGTGAACCACTCCGTGCTAATTATTCTATCTTTTGTAGGAAAAGAAAGAAAGGAAGAAGAAAAAGAAAAAGAAGAAAGAGAAAGAGAAAGAAAAAGTCAAAGAATCTGATTCAGACTCCTCGGATTAAGTGTTCAGTGTAACTCACCTTTCTCAGCCATTTGGTATAATTGCCTTTACAACTTTCATTGCATTTGAGTGATTTTCAACAACTGCCTGATGAAATTTTTTCCAAACAATCAGGTCCAAGTCTTTGGACAGATCACTTAACATGTGCAACCAATCAGATATGAATCAAGTCAATCACGAATCACCTGTAAATGGTTAAGCTGGCTCATGATTGGTCCATTGTCTTGTGCCTCTGATGGGATAAGCCAATAGTGGTCATCGTAAATGTTTTGTGTTTGTTCTTCGGCTGGCAGAAAATTTCTTAAGTTGCAACGCACGGTTACCGAGATGTACGCGAGGTCAGATCATTGTAATATAATCCTTTTTTTAATCTCAATATATACTTGTAGAATTTGTTCTTCAATAAATTCAAAGTGTCCAGCGATAACTTGCTCTGCTGATATTGCCTGCATTATAGACTCGTGGTCGCTGTCTATTTGTCCAAATTATCGCAACTTTCTTGACAACCGGGTACTGTGATGCATCACGTGACTCTAGTGAACAAATAAAGTCCCTTGCCCTCTCAGTTTTTCCCCTATTCTCTGATGGCGGCCTTGTTAAGCTAAGCAATGTTTCCGGTTTTTTCCTGACTTAAGAAGCAATTTTCGAAAAGCGTAAGTGCATGTTGAAGTTAGTTAAAAAGTACAAAGCTTTGTTCTCTTTCGAAGGTGGGGAGGCTAGGTCAAAAATATTTACGGAAGTTTAAAACGGTCAATTTTATTACGAGCTTTGAACTTAATAGGGGTACTCAACGATGAATGAATGTTTACCTTTAATGCAAAGGCACGATTTTGTCTCATAAATAGAAAATCTTGGTCAATTTTTCTTCACATTTTAAATATTCAGAGATCTCCAACCTACCCATACATAATTTCCTAAAGGAACCACTTACCCCGCATGTAATACCGTACGTTAGTGATTTATTAAAATTACTTTTGAAATAGTAAGTCCTAAAATAAGACCGTAGGGAATACTACGAATGCTGCAAAGTCAAACAGACGTTAACTGAACGTGTCCTGAGATCCATTCTGAACAAAGGCAATTTGTGTGAAAGGTTTTGGAAAATTCCAACACGTGTAGGCCCGTAACGCAGTTGTCGAGTTTGCGAGTTTGGACTGAGTGTCGTGACTGTTCATTGCTTGTCTTGGCTTTGCTTCAATAAGCTCTGTGACTGATTCAGATGTCTCGAACCACTCACTTGGCTAATCAGATACTGTTTTTAATAGAACACTGTTCCTGTCTGTCTAACCACGTGAATTTGGACGGGTGACGAAATTCTTTATTCTTGGGGAATTAAAATGGCCGCATTGTAATGCCATTCCCGTGATACTCGAGCATAGAGCGATACTAGCACTCGCAGTTCATCCAAATCGTTTAAGGAACTTATCTGGGAGAAAATTCCAAAACCAGCATTCACGATCATGGATAACTTTCTCCTTTGTTATTTATATCCACGTCAACTTCTATGAATGTGCTCCAGAAATCAACCGCTATCCGGGCCGATAACAAGAATTTAATGCTTCCAGGCAGAACTTTTACTTCAAATGGAACTTGTCTGGAGAGCTTCATATTTTCAAAGTTCGCCGATATCCTCAAGTCAAATATATCTGTATTACAAATGTTGGCAATTTCAAAAGCCACACTTTGCCCCAGGCTATGGTTTCTCTTTAACAGGACCAAACAATCGTTGTCACCAACTTTCCTGGTTTTTGGGGAACTTAATAAAATTGTAGAGTATTCTAACCAAGGAACACTCTCTAGTTCTGTCAACTTTTCCTTCCGTCTTTGGGAACAAATGCAAAGTTTTAGATGAACCCCTTTATCTGCGCATGCTCGGTACTTTCCAAATAGGGTTAATCGATCATAATTAATAAGCTCCATCTGCATTGAGTACTGATCGGCCATTTCCTTGTGCTTCACTTCCACGTGGAATATATCTTCTCTACGTTTAACAACGTCACCAGACCGTAAGTAAATGTCAAAACTCGTGATCAGTCCTCCGTCTAATTTTGAGTTGCGTTCCCGCACGTTTTGAAACCTCACAGGACGTAGTCTCTCACAAGAGCGTAACATGGAATACGTTTGTACCTTTCCATTTGTAGGTTCAGTGAATTCAGCTTGTAACATGTTATTAAGTTCACCGACGGCGAACTCCACAAGAGAAATCCTTGAGGAGTCGTTGGTGGTGGGGCTGTCCCAACCATTGCATACACATAAATTGGGTGTCCTCAGTTCGATATCGTTGCATGTTAGATTGGGTGATATGGCAGTAAATAACCCAATAGGTTTTACCAATCTCTTCAGCGGCCGAGCTAGCAGCAGAAGGGAATGGTGTAAGCTGAACATGGTCACCAGTCTTCGTTGATTGACTTCAAGCGCAGCCATGGCGCTTGGTCCCAGAAGTCTAGCAACTTTGTTTGGTACAATCATAAACAAGCTTGGATGGAACATTTCAAAGCGTCCTTCCAGGACATCAGACGTGTACTGTGTGTAGGTATTTCCATGATCTGCTAACACAATTGTAAGGGTATTTTGAGTGTTTGCCATGACAGAAACAAAGCGAGCCAGGTCAGAATCCAAAGATTGAATCCTGCGTCCTGTTTCATCATGTCCAACATTCAGAGCAGTGTACGAGAACAGCGGACGGGATTTCCTTGATGACGCTATGGTATTCGATATGTCTATTAAATATTGGAGAAAATAGCTGTGTTGTAGCTTGCCGTTGAAGCAGATCTGATCCCCTTCGGGTCCATTGAATGGTGTTTCCAGACCAAAAGAGCCTAACACCTCACAACTGGAGTGCGTCAAACCTGAAAGTAGTAGGGAAACTCTCTCATTTGAATGAAACTTCATTGATACTCTGGTGTAGATAGAGGGCTAAGAAAGCACATACTGTGTCACACACACACACACGCATACGCACGCTTTGTCATCTCTCCTCCCCCCCACCCCCCCTGTCCTTCCCCTTTATCAGTTAACCCTTGAGTCCATCCCCAGTTAAAAAACTTACAGTTCAGCTCATAAAGCTACGACGACTGTGGCAAAAGTAGACAAAACAAAGAAAGGAACCCAAAACTTTAGTTCTGTTCCACAACAATTGTCTTATCCAGAGCTGTTTTATAATAATTATAATTTTTTTAGTGATGTTTACCTGTGCTGTCGATAAAGTTTTCACTCAGTTTAATCTGTAGGTCCTCCCAGTCTTCCGCGACCAAGTCGGCCATTAATCCCCACATTCCCCACCAGCAGAGGTCTTCTTGCCACAAGGTCTGATACCCAGCCCTTTTGAAGTGTCCAAACATCACATCCGCGCGCACTGGGTCGGAAGGCTCTTGTTCGTCCTGTTCTTTTGATGGAAGCAGCTGGCCCGTGAACAGCGCGTGTTCATTTTGCGTGGTGTGGCCATGAACAGCTTGAAATAACTCGAAATCAAACACCCTTGCTTGGGGGTTGTCTCGTCTTCCCGCCAATTTCCTGAATATCTCAATTGTTTTGGGGAGAGAACGATAAAAATGTGATCTAGAGACGGAATCTAACAGAACAATATTTATGTTGATGCTATTTCTTTGTCGCGGTTCAAAGGCCTCTTGTATAGTCGCCTGCGGGGGAACTGTAATGAGTTGCGACACCAGACTCTTGTTGCTCGACATCATGAAGCATTTTACGAATAAAAAGTTGAATTTCTTTCTAGCAGTCAAATAGGCAATGCGGGGAAGTTGAATCTCCAGCTCTGAGACAGTTTCAAATTCCCTAAGCAATTCCAGAAGACCTTCATTGGGATCTATAGTGTACGCACCGTAAGTCAAAGAGTTTTTCTCGCTTTTGTTTACGACCTCTTCACAAACTCGGCTACTGCACTTGGCTTTAAGTATTTTCCTTCCATTATGAGTATCAGATTCCAGTGTACAAATCTCAGCGTTGTTTGTCTTACAGAGAGACAAGGAAGGCTCATAACGGAACAAGGAATCTGCAAATTCACATGCATCCATAGAGGCTTGATGAGGCTGACAGGTCCCGTAAGGAATCTTGTCTGTGTTCGGTAGATTTAACTCCTTGCACGAGCTCTTCCTGTCTGTTGTATAGGTGTTATTTTTCTGGGAATTTGAATCTGAAAAACGTTCTCTGTCGTCACTATATCTTTCTGTATCTCTTTGTTTAAGAATTTCAGAATATAATTCCACAGATTTATATGCGTAGTTTTGACGTTCATGAAGTTTTCCGTTCTCAAAACTTACAACCATTAGCTCCTCGTGACGATTTTTGGGGCCATTTCCAAATATTCTTCCTCTTAATCTAGAGAATCTTGAATTAGCACGTACGATTTCTGGTTTTCGCATAAGTTGGATGTCATTGCCGAAGATAAGTCCAGTGCAGGCGAGATAGAAGTGCCATATAGTGACGATAATTAGGACATAAACCAAGATTTTTCGCCTCCCACGTTTTATGCCCATAAACAAACATCTGATAGAGTTCTTCACAAAATCCATAGTCTCTCATGTGCGATAACAACACAAAGTGAAATCCATTCGTGAGAAAGCTCAGTATTTTGTGTGAACTAAACGCTATAATGGTGACATCTAACAATACAATCTGTCAGTGGTCAGCCCTCAATCATTCGTGTCCAACTCCTAAAATATATGATTCGATAACATCAACAAAGAAGGCAATAGACAGTCTCAAGTGGATAAGAACAATTGTTTTGATGTTAAGGACTTTGTCACACGCACTGTCACATTAAATAATTTGACAAATTTAACTTTTGATAAGTTCTATTAAGAAATCCAGATGTGATAAGCAAGGCTTGAAGCCTGTACCAGATTAAATGATTCGAAATTTATAACAATGTTGAGCAAAGAAATAGTTACTGAAGACCACTGGCACAAACTATTGCGGTCAAGTCGTATTATCATTGAGAGTAAAACGGTATTCGGTTGATCAACCAGAGAGAACCATTAGTAAATCAAGAGAGAGAATTTCGTTTGACTCAGAAAGGACCTGATAAATACTCCATAGGCCCTCCCATATAAATTGCTGGGTATTGAGATGAAAAACTGTTTTAACTTTCTGATTATTTCAAAGTTTCTACTTCCATAATAAAGTCCTTCCACAAATAAATTGAATGTGAAATTTGCATTTTTAAGTCTTTGTCCTTAGCAATTATTCGAAGCGAGACGTTACCGAATAAAATGTTTGTCATTATTCCAAGCTAGCAGGATCAGTGTAATGGTGATGGGGACGGAAACCTGGATATCATAAGAGCAGTTTTCATCACCGTTTCAATCGCTCTGCCAGATATCGACAATTAATCACATATTAAAATTGTTTGTAGAATATCTGTAAACTGAAAAAGTGACCTTCGATTGAAAATGTATACAGGGAAAAAGCTTAGCCGGACATCGACTACGCAAAAGTAAAGCCTAAACTGAATGTGTCGATTGTCTCCACAACGAAGACACGCTCGTAATTGAGACAGATGATTAACGTTGCGATGGCATTCTGTTAGATTCCGCTGCGTCCGTGACTAAAACTGAATCGACTATCTGTATAGTAATTTAACTAACCTGATCTGAGAAAGGGAAATTATCAAGCGAAGATTACAAGTTGAATTACTTCCTTTGCCGCAAGTCGCCGAACCCAAAGACTAAATCATTAGAGTCACATGTGATTTACTCTCTGTAGTGACCCGAGAGCTGTAATTAGCTGTAATTATCACTGGCGGATGATTTCTGACCGTGTTTGCGTGTCGACCCAAGCATGTAGGATATCTTTTAATCCACTTGAATCTGACTCGGAAATTCTACACCACAAACTTTCATAAGCCTCTTACTGAGCTCTCAAGTACGGTACTTTCCCCTCTAAAAGTTCTATCCAGAAACTGATAGTGTCTCATAACGATCTCAAATGTTTGAAGATCATTTGTAACTCATTTAGTTTTCGTTAGAGCTGTTATAGTCGAAAGAAATTTCTCGCGCTCAGATGTGTACAAATACGGCCCTTCGTCATGTTTCAAATATTCAAAAACTATTTGTCTGCCAGACCGCTCCAACTTATTATGCTGTCATACGTAGGATAAAAGCCGGATTTGTTGTCGCGTGATACTTTGAGATATTCCATGACTCAAATAAAGGGACATAAATGATTTTTCCGCATTTTAGACTATTAAACTTATTGACGTGTTCAATGTGTGAGCTGCAGTAAGATAATGTTGTTTAGATATTTACATTTTCTTGTGCTATAAAGAATTTATTGTTCTCTGATGAGTATTTAACCTCTCTTGCGCTCCCAGTTAGCCTGTCTTGAATAAGTTCCTTATCGAAGTCGATAAACTTATGATCGGACTTAATGAATAATTGACAGATCTTTGTTTAATAAGGGGATTTTTGGTTATTTGCGGTCCTCGGTTGTCAAAAGTAAAAAGTTATTAACGAGGAAAGTCGTAATTCTTGACAATTTTAGATCGTCGACACAAGACATCGGAAACAATTAGGCGAAAGAGCCTTGATGATGTGTTTGATGGTCTTTGATGTAAATTGGATGACTCTAGGGGAGGTGTCATGGCTGACTGGGATTATTTATTATTTTGAAAATCAAGGATTTAATTGAGTCTTTCTTCCTGTGGCATCGTTTATCCCTAACTTTCGCGAATCCTGCCAAACTAGGTTAAAAGACTGTACTCGCCCCCAACCTAACAAAGCAGTTTTTTATGGTGAAAGAATTAAAATGACATATCAAATGTTGATTAAAATACCAGGAAGTATTTTCCTGTACTCCTGATCAAGTATCAATTAATTAGATAGCCGTATTGTATAAGATTGATGTTTACTCAAAACCCAAAGCCATACGACATTTTGAGTACTGAATAAGGAAAAACGTGAGGCCGAGAATGGAAATCATGACAAACTAAGTGTAAGTAGTTTTGTTTTGGTTTACTTTTCTTATCTCATACCTTCTTGTTAGTGTTTTTTGTTCAGTTTGTTATAGTTTTTTTTCGTCAGCTTCTCCTTCAGTTTCGCACGTTTTCATACCGATTACCAGCCGCTGTTCGGGAATAGGAGCCCGCGCTCCTTCCCAACCCTCTCCACCGAACCCACTCTTCTCTCGGAGGGGCAAAGACCGGACACGAGAGAGCGGCGGAAGTCGAGGTTATATTAGTGTTAAGGCGACTGAAAATGGAACAACGAATTATCTCAGAGAGTCCATTCCAGGATTGAAATGTGTCTATTTTTGTGACTTGGTTCTGGAGTGATTTGAAGAAAATTAATTTCAGTTTATATCCTCTTGTTTGGAATTGCTACCAATTTTTGAAGCGGTTTCCATACGCCACGGTGTAAGGCAAGGAAATATGGTACACTGACCTGTGTGAGTTTCTTTATGGGAGAAGTCGGTCAGATGAGATCTAAAGATGTACTTCCTGGTAAGCAAAAGTATCTCCGGCTACAGTAAACCGTAAGTTCTTATAATGAGATTTAGGCTTATTCAGACCTTGGTGAACATCAGAACTTTAATGAAAAACAAGTTAATCATCCACTTAACGGAAATAAAACTTAATTGTACCGTCGAAAATTAATTTAGAAACGAGTTGTTTCTCTACTTCGTTTCTAACGATGTTCGCCTGGAAGGGGCCGATGGATAAATCATACATTCTGTTGGTATAAATACTGCCGGTTGAACACTTACACTAGAATAGAGTTGAAATGAAATGTGGCTGTTGAGATAATATATTTTCACACAAAATCTTGTGTGAACTAAAATTTGATTTTGCGATGATTTCCATTCTCGGTCTCGCCTTTTTCATTTTTTCAATTTTCCTCGGTAACAATGATTGCCGATTGCTTTCAGTTCACAAAATCTTTTTATCAATCACGAGTGAATATTTTTTCATATTTTTATCCTTGAATAACTTGATTCCCTCTGTTAAATCTTTTATTATTGATATGCTTGTGAATATTGGTATTTCTTTGTGATCAAACGAAATGCTTTGTCAGTTTCATCAGATTTGATAGATCATTAATCCTAGATGTAAATATACATAGCCAAGAGGAAAATTCCAAAATTGTCTGGGACGTGAAATCAAAATGATTGTCATTTTTGTAAAAATATTCCGGCAGGTCTAGAAGCATCCCACGGTTGCCTCTGCTAACAAATGAAAGAAATAAAAGTTTTTACATTGCATTAGTGAGTCCTAGTGGTTACGGTAATGAGTAAAATTTTTCAAGCCCCTCCCATTTTCGGCCCTCATAATTTCTCTCGCGCGTTCAATTGACTTTTGTACTGCTAAGGAAAATGTAGGGGAACCAATAAGATAGTTTGATACAACTTGACAATTGATCACTGTACAACAAAGTATTCAGTATGTTCGGTAAGAGAATTCTCTACATACCTTATCGTTCAGTCTACCGATGCAAGGTGTCTTTTTCCTTCACTTGGTTTCGTTTTGTTAAGATAATTAAAGAGTTTCGTAATGTTTACCATCTTGAAATTCCACTCTCATTGACTGGTGACTTAGCAACAAAAAGCCATGTGAAAAGATTGATCAGTTTTCTTTGCGTTGTGAGTCTTACGGATAAAGACAGGGGAAGGGAATTACGATAAACAATAACCTTTTTCTGGTTTTATCAAACATCGTTTACAATAAAGTTATCAAAGTCTTATGAAGTGTTGTATTTCTCGGGACATAGCTCTGATAAAGCCAATAAATGAGGCGAAAGTTTTACTATCATTAGTTTACCACCATTACTATAAAAATATACAAGAATATCGACCGATTAATTTTAATATCAAGATTTCATGGGGAATTTTATGTACGACTCTGTCATTTAGAATTGAATCGGCAATTTGAACCCGACAGCAAGAAATTGTCAAGTGCTGGCAGAAACTTTGCACAGCTTTTCAGCTGCTGCTAATGGCGTAAAGGAAACCTTGTAGGGTGACAAATCCTCTGCAATTTGGGAGATAAAAGAAAAAGCCGCTGTTTGTAGACTGCATGAAAGAAAAAAATATTTTTTTTTTACGTCCTCCAGTGTCAGAATTACGACTCAGTAAGCATCTTTCATATCATTTGCATCTATTAGGGTCGAAAAGTCCTCTTGTATTTACACTTAGTGCAAATTAAGCAATCTTTCCAAGTCTACCACTTTTTGTTCAATTGTTCAGCGGTGACCAAAAGTAATTTGCATTTGCTCTCTTTCCAATATCGCAAGCAGCAGCCAAACCTGCGTAGAGAACGATCGCTTATGATTGGAGTCAAGGATTCTTACAATTTTTATCAATTAATAAGGTAAGTTACCATTAATCTCGGTTTGTACCTTAAATCTGATATCGGCGACTTAAGTAAAAAAAAGTAAATTGATCACTTTTTGCAATTTGACTGTTTCTGGCAAAATGTTTGGCACTGAATTTGAATATCTTATGTTTCTGAGAAAATGATGAGCAAGCTTTCGACTGATTTCAATGGTAAACCATTTCATTATAGCATAATATTGTGAGT